TAAAAGAAATAAGAATTTATTTAATTTTTTATATTTTTATATTAGAATTTATATTAGCTAATATAATATTAGCTATTAGTATTAAGCTTAATAACTATAAACTAGAATATAAGGTAGAATATATTTTAAACTATTAGATATATAGGAGAATAATAAAATACTTAGTTAAATAGGAGAATTATAGTAATAAAGATAATTTATAAAAACCTATTTAAAATTTAGTAAACTACTAAAAGGCATTTTAGGTATATTATTAAATAACTAGCTAAAAAAATCTATATTAGTAAACTTTATTATAAAACTTTAATTTATAATATTAAAACCTTTATTTTATTAAATATTAAAAATAGTTTTAAACTTTTTAGCTATAATTTAGTTAATAGCTTTAATATAATTAGCTTTTTTAAATATATTTAAAGCAGTTAAACCTTTATTTATTAAACTAGCCTTATAATAAACTAAAGATTCCTTTTAATAATGCAAATAATTTAGATAGGCTATTGCTTTACTTACTTAACAATAAGCCTTATATAAGGCCTTTTAGGCTTTAAGCTTTTAAAAATATAACTTTTTTTCTTTTACAATAACCCAAAATACTAAAGGAATAGTTAAAAAAAAAAAAAAAAAAAAAAAAAAGAAAACAGAAAAATAAGGAAAACTAAAACTTATAAGCACTTATTAGCACCTTAAAGCTATTATACCTTTTACTTTACTTAATATAAGCAGAATAATAGGAAATACTCTTTATTATTTAATAAAACTACCTTTTTATAAAATAAAATAAATAAAGTATAACTTTAAAGCCTAACGATTTAATAAATGCGAATAATTAATTATACTAATCCAATTTTTTAAAACGCAGTTTTTTTATATACAATAATATAATTATTAGTGGAATAAATATAATAAATATATAGAAGGAAATAGGAAAGAAAAAGAACTTATTTAGGTTTTTTAAGGATAAAGAAATAATAGAAAAGGGGAATAATATTATAAATATAATAGGAATAAAACTAAGGAAATATTATTAGTTTTTTAAAGGCGTAGATAAACCCTATAGGCTAATAAGGTAGGCTTAAAAGGATTTGCTATATAATAAAAGCAGGTTATATAATAAAGTAAAAGAATAATTAAAATAATTAGAGTAATGCTTTGCTTTAAATAATTTAAATAATCTAATACTTTTATTGTTTTAAGTAAATAATATTTTAAATAAGCCGCTTAAAGCAATACTCCTATTACTTTAGCTAAAAAGATAAACTATATAAATTATACTTATTACTAATAAATAATATTAGCTTAAAATAGCTTTTCAGTAATTAATTTAAATATTTACCTAAAATAGCTATAAAGCTTTTAATTTATTATTATTATATATTGCTTAAAATATTACTACCTTAAATATTTTCTAAATATAAATCTGCTTACTAAGTTTATTAGCTAGAAACCAGCTGTAATTGTTATATAAAAATATATTTTTAACTAAATTTAAGCTTAAATAACTATACTATTGTTTTAAATATCTGTTTATTAAGCAATTATTTTATTTATTAACTAATACTAAATATATTATTAAACCTTTTATTTTAAAAATAATTTTTAAATTCTATTATTATTATTAACTTTATAATTTAGCTTTAAAAAGGTTTAAATTTAACCTTAAAAATAACTTAAACTTTAATTATAAGCTTATTATTAATATTATATATTTAAATAATAAGCTAGTTTTATATATTATTAACTTAATAACTTTTTTTTAAATTAAGTATTTTTTTTTATTTTTATTAGTAAAAAATATATAAAAAGTATTATATTTAGTATAAATTAATACTTACTTTAAACTTTTTAACTATATTATTTATAATACTAATACTAACTTTGCTTTTATAAAGTTTAAAAGTACTATTAAAATTATAAAAATAACCTATAAATAAGTGCTTATTAAGGCCTATTAGTTTATTAAAAAGGTTAAATAGTATTATACTTCTATTTAATAAGTATATAAGATCCTATATACCAAGCTTTTAAGTATTTTCTTTATAAAGGTTATACTTTAAATAGCTTTTAAAGCTATTAACAATATAGCTAGCTTAAATAGATTTATACTTACACTCCTTATCTTTAAAGCTTACTCTTAAATAACATCTAACTTTCTACCTATACTATTTACTTTAAAAAAAGCTAAGGCTATTTAAAAAGCTATAAAAGCGTTAAAGAAGTTAATTGCTAAACAATAAGTTAATATAGCTTTAAATACTTAAAATAAACTAATTATATTAAATATTCTAGCACTCTTTTTATAAAGTAATATTTAAGTATAGAAAGAAAAGGAGGGTTAATAGGGCTTATATAAACTTTTAGCTATTAATAGTTATAATATAACCCTTAACTTACTTAATAGTCTAATTACCTTTTAATTAACCTTAGTTTAGCTATACTATTATAATAATAATATAAATTTAAAAAATAATATAATAGCAGCTATTAATACTAAATTATAGTAATAAGTTCCGCTATAAATTAAATTTAATTTAAATTAATTTTAATTAGCTTTTAAGCTTTTTTAGCTTTAATAGTAAAAATAACCTTATAAATTTAAGAATAAGCCTAAGCTAGTTAAAACCCTATTTATTTAAAGGAAAAAGAATAACTATAAGCTTATACTTAAGCTTTACTAAAATAAAGTAATTATTATTTTAAATAACCCTTTTAAAGAATTTAATATTTAAAAGATATTAAATCTAATTAAATATAGTATTTTTTAATTTAAACTTTACTATTTTAATAAATATAGTATATTTAGGCTATTTAAGTTTTATATAATTTAAAAGGTTAAAAGAAAAACTAAAAAGCTATATAAGAAGTTATAGCTTATTATATAAAGATATAATAATAAGGAAAAAGAGAATATTTTAATATAGTTATTAATTATATAAAAAGTTAGCTAACGCTTAGTTATAGCTTTAGTATTATTTTTATTAAAAATAGATATAGTTATTAAACTTTAAAATATTACTTAAGCCTATTTATAATTTAAAATAATACTAAAATATACTTTTTTTATAAGCTTATTATTAAAGATTTATAATAAATACTTAGAAAATACTATTATAAAAGTTATTAAGCTATTTTATAATATTACTAAAGCAGGTATTTATTAATAAGCAATATACTATTATTATTATTATAATAAATTAAGTATAAAGATTTTTATTTATAATTTATACCTTTTAATTTTTATTTATAATTAGAACTACTTTAGTATAATAGCTATATAAACAGATAACATACTTTTAATAATTACTCCTGCCTTTTTAATATTAAAAAAAAAAATTTAAAAAAAATAGATCTACTATAAGCTAAAAATTAAATTTATAGTTAATAACCTTTTTAATTTTAATAATATAAAGATTATTATAAATCCTAACAGCTTTATTAACTTTATTTAAAAAAGTTAAAATATAAAGATTAATTTAGTTAATATTAAATCTTTAAACTATATTTAAAAATATTTTAAATAACGCGCTTATAAAGTATACTTAGTATTTATATATTAGCTAAAAGCAGCTTTTAATCTATTTATAGCTATTTAAATCTAAAATCTAAATAATACTATATATATTAAACTTAATTATTAACTTTAATAATAAGTATAAAACCTTAATTATAAACTATAATATATTCCTATTAACCTTATATTAGCTAAACTTATAGTTTTTATAAATAGTTTTTTTATAAATAATTATAACTTTAGCTTTTAAATTAGCTTTCTAATTACTTTAATTAATAAAAAAAAAATTAAAATTTTATAAAATAAAAAATAACTAATAATATTTTGTATTAATTTTTAATTAAATATAAAAAAGTTACCTAAAATATACTTACTTTAAAAATTTATAGTATAATTAATAGCTTTAATATAAAAATTGTACTTACTATAACTCTATAATAGATTATAACTTACTTTAATATTCCTATAATACTACTAGTAATTTATATAAACTTATACTTTCTTTATAAGTATTTTATTAAGTTAAAAATTATTAAAAAAAAGCAATTAATAATAAATATAATAGCACTTTAATAGTTATATAAATAATAAAAGATTTATAAGCTATACTAAATTAATAGTAATAATAATTTAGCAAATATATTTACTAAAGTTAATTTAAATAAAGCACTTAAATAACTTATTACTATTAATAGGTTAACTATTAAGATTAAGGGCTATATAAATTAAAACTAATTAACTTAATAAAAAAAAAAACTATTAAAGGTAAAATCAATTTATAATAATAAAATATACTAAACTTAAGTAGCAAAACTTTAAATTAGTTCTATTACCCTTAAACTAGCTTATATTAATTAACAGTTTACGCCTTTAAGCTACATTTCCTTAAATCCATCTTAAAAGCATACCTTATAGCAAATTTTTACAATATAGCCTATATATTAAGGGTTTAAGTAATAAAAGTTACTATTATTTTATAAGCCAAATACTACTTAATATTTAATAAGTATTTTTAGTTAGATTTTATAATACTAACACTTATATACTAAAAAGGTTAATTAATTAATTAATTAATTTTATATTTCTACTATTTATTACTACCTACTAATTCCACTAAGTCCGCTAAATCTACTAATTATACTTCTTTATCTTATTTTATTTTATTATTACTTAATATTTAAAATAAGGTTATATTAGTATTATTAGTTAGGCTAGCTAGTATTAGCCTGGCCTAAAAGTCTATCCTTATTCATCTATCCCTTAAATAGTAAAATTATAAATCTATAAATTATTTTAAAATAGGTGTGACGATCACAGCTGGTTCCTGGCTGATAAACCTAGTGAGCGGGTTTATGTTCAGGGAACGTTCAAGGTGGTGATGTTCTGAGCAATGTGTGACGATAGTGGATCGAAAGCTTTACAGCTATTCTGGGTGAATACTTAGATTGACTGCTGAAGAGCTGTCCTAAGCTAATGCTATCTACTGGTAATGAGCGTGATCTATATAGTCCATCTCTTCAGCTGGAGCGACGGGAGCGTCGCTCTTGGCGGCTCACTTGGAGCGTCGCTCACCTGGAGCGACAGGAGCGTTGGATCATTTGGATCATCTGGAGCGAAGCGTCGCTCCAGTTGTCTTAGTCATCCTTTCGCTCCATCACGTGACCTGCTTCTGTCACGTAGCGAATCCTTCCAGGCCTGCCCTGCTGGCCTGTGGGGTTTATCTGCGCCTTCAGGGGACCAACAGTGCTCCCCTGGTTCTATTCCTGTCACGTTCGTGACACCCGGGTATCGAGGATTCGTCCTAGGTATGTGCTGACCCTGTCAATTATTTTCAGCCACGGACTGACATTCAGGTGCCCTGGCGGAAGGGCTTGTGGGAGTACATCCATCCCTCATGACTGAAAAGCCGCCTCAGTGGTTTACCTCAGTCCCCCACTAGTCGTTGATTCCAGAATGTAACCCCGGCATCTACCGAAGCTACCGTCTTGTCTGCGTCGAACAATAGCACTGTATACAACTTGTGGGCAACGGGCGCTATAATACCGCAAATTCTATGTATGACGCCACACGTTCTCTTTTTCGCTGTGGTTGCGTATATCCCGAAGCAGAAGCACCACGTGAGCCGTCTTGTAGTCCAGAGGCAAGTCGGGCAATGTCGAGAGCAGGATTACGTGCGCTCGACAGACGTCTTGCAGAGTAGTCCGCTCAATTCCTTGCCACTGGTGTAGGATTGGCACGCTCAGAGAAGAGCGCAGACAATTCGCGTCGTCCTGTCGGTACATGAAGATGGTCTGCGGGTCAACTTCCACGTGCAAAATATGGATGTGCGTCTGCAGGTCCGTGTTAGTGTACACGGTGTATGCTGTCTGCTCTTCTTCTGACCAAAAATGGCGTGTCCGGTGACGTCGCTGATCCACCCGCTCAAAAGACACCTTTTTTCAATCTCTTGGATGGCAAGGTCGCGGTAAAACGATTTTTAAGATGCTTTCATGCTCTTGAAAACGTTCAATCCACCGTCGATTACTGATGCAATCATGTCTGAGCCATCGAGGAAGAGGAAGTCTCTTTCTCCAAGCTCCTTCTTCAGGCCATTGTTAAGCGTAGTCTCCTCCGCGCCTTGAATTTCATAGACTCCAACGACGGTGAGCGTTTCGCGCATGATCGGTGTGTCGTGTGAGGAGTTCCTGAATGGATCACTCCTAAGGTATCTATAGAGGTGATCAAAGGATTTCAGAAATGTTCCCTGAATTAGTGATTTGCATAGTCACGGAGATCCGCAAAGTATATCGTAATTCGAGCCATACGGACTCCTAGGCTTTGTAGTAGAAGTAGGCCAGTCATGTCCCAACTCAGTTCGAGCAGTTCGAGGATATACAGTACGTAAGTTTCGTATCGTCAAGTTTGTTGTGTAGCGAACACTGAGCAAGGCTCCTCGGGGGTCGTGGTGAATAGGTACATGGAATGGGTTCTCGTGTGGGGGCATGTCCAGTGTCTGCGGAGTTTCGAGATTCTCCGTCATTTGTACTGTGCGTGAGATGCTCTATTTCGCGCGTTTTCCATGGCTGAGTACCAGGGATAGGCACGGCCTACGCGTACATTGCATGAGGGTGGTTGTCCTGTGCTATCGTTGCAACGCAAAGGGAGAAGAAAATTCGCATTACTGCTTATGACAGCGTTTGATTCAGACAATCGTGGGTGAGTGGAAAAGAACCTCATGCACTTAGCGTCAAGTTGTGTATTCAACGATGATAAAGGCAGGGATGGAATATGCATGAGACCTATCATCTGCAGTGTACATGTGAGACCTATCATCCGCAGTGTATACTTTCGGTGTTTGGGAACCTGAATCCCGGATCATAGGTGATTTGTTGTGTGCTGCCAGCCTGAAGTTCAGGTCAAGGATGAAGGAGTTACTGACATTTGGGAGAATGTATGGAACCGGAGATTGGGAAAGTGGGAACATTCCTACCGGCGGATGAAGGGGAAGGTCGACATATAAGTGTTGGATTCGTCGGGAGACAGGTTTTGCTTGATGCCGCTTGGAAATACTGAACTCGGCTACCTATTCTGTAATCAATGTAAGCGTGTTTCACCCACTCCACGCATCAAGCATCCTAGTCCGTATGTTCTCTTCCACCTTGCCCACTGCTTCCTGGATCGCGTCCCACATCTCATGTTCGTCAACAAAGTCGACAGCCAGCTCCCCAAACTCTATCCCTACATATTGTTCCATATATTCGATGGTCGAATAGTCGGCTAGCGACTCGTCGAGCCTCCGTTCTAGTCTTGAGTTGTGGTGCGCCCGCATGTCCCGCGAGAATTGTGCCAGCCGCTCGTCAAGATAGACTTTTAGCTTTTCAGAGATAGTCTCGGAGACAGAGCTTGTGTGGGACCCTGTCTCGGCCTTTGAAGCCGTGGGCGATAACGAGTCTGAGGCCGCTCGAGGCGGAGGACTCTTCGGGCGTTGGGCTTCCGCCTCGCGGTATTGCGCCTTTTCGAGCTCCTGTATGGTGGCCCTGAGCCTTGCATCCATCGCCGCTGCGGCGGCAGTCGACGCATGCAATTGCTCGATTATCGCGCCCGCCTGATCCCATGCTTCACGCAGGTTATCGAGTGTCCCTGCCTTCTCGTCTGATCCTTCACCCTTGCGGAACTGCGGGCCATCATCGCCGAGGCTAGGCCGCAGCCGTTTTCGCGAAGGATTGGCCGCGCCAGGTGGGACAGTGTCATTGTATGACGGGGGAAGGTCTGCGTCTGGCGGGGAACTTGCATCATCACCAGCTCTGCTGTCCTGAGCATCGCCTTTGATGACGGGGTGACCGAATGTCTCGCTGGGCGGGACAATCCTGCCGCCCTTGCCACCATAGAGTGTCTTCAGATCCAGTTGCAAGGGGCTGTTGACGACCCGGAGAAGATTCTCTGGGGACACTGTGGCGTTGGGAGGGGCTAACATCTGAGCTGCGGAAACATGGTCCCACAGATCGTCACCTAATGGCAGGTAGATGACAACTCTGAGAGACTGAGACAGCTTCCGCATAGTGCTGAGAGATTGTGCATCAGTCGGTGTTTCCGGATTCAAAGCCTTGGTAGCCAAGGGGGCAATGAGAGTACCCGCTGGGTTGGCAAGGACGAGTTGGAGGCGGGCCTGTGACGATTGTATCCTTGAGATCAGCCGTTCAGGAAGATCCGGTCGCCGGCGGAGGGAAAGAGAGACGATTTTATCGGTTGGTATGTCGAGGAGGATAGCAGTGATCCCAGGATCCTCTCGCAGGGTAACTGATATACGGAGCCTGAGGGACAGAACACCATTCTTGTCGTAAGAAAGATGCAGAGAAACAGGCAGGAGTTCCGGCGTGTAGGACGGTGACTGTTCTACGCCCCCATCGTAGGTATCGACAAGGCAGCCGTCGATGCGACGTTTATTGGAGCTGCCATGACGCGAGAAAATAGTTGAAGGCGGCGCAGCCATTGCGGACCTTCAGATCGAGTGGAAAACCTGCACAAGTAATCAGTCAAAACTCCTAGCAAAGGACGAAGAAATCCGGAATCCCCTGCGCGAGACAAGCATCATTGGTTGGATGACACGAGAGACACACAGGCTGCCCATCCTCCCAGGCTTTCCGTGGCGATGTAGAGCAGCCTTGACTCTGTGATCCTGGTGGACCGGGCGGCGCTGCAGACTCCCCTCGAGTGATCCAAGTCTCAATCGCGCACACGCAGTTCCACTCCGTGCTGCATAAGCCCAGCCCTCAGCCGCAGTCACATGCCGTGTACTCCAGGCAGAGAGTCTGTATAGCGTGGCAAAGCAGCGCGATTGAGACGAGGATCGAGGTGGCAGAGGGGATTTGCAGTCCGCCTTACGGTCTATACCTTGGCAATAAGCGCGGCCAAGGATCGTCGTTGATGTGTACTGCGAAGTGCAATGCAGTACTGCCGGTATCTGTTCGTGAGGGTGGCTCGGGTTGAAATGAAGCGCGATTGGAGACTAAACTGTCCATGAAAGGGTAATGGGGTAGAGATACCGAGGTGGGTGTGATAAGAGCGAGTTCTCGTGAACGATCAAACGTGACAGGCTGGGGAGGGAGCTGGCAATATGTGGAGTGCACTGCCGAATCGGGGTGACTATTGTCCGGGAGTTCTGGTGGAACCCTCTTCATGCTTGCGGACTACTTCCCGCGGTAGGCGCCCGGTGAAAATGTATCCGGGAGGGGGCTTGCGTGATGGGTTTCTCCCAGCAGGGGTATGCCATGTACTCTCTCGTCGCGGGAGATGACCCAGATGCTAGGTGGTGGGCCCCAAGCCACGGACCTGCATGTCCGCGGTTCAACGGAGGTAATCATTGGTGGTGGGCACTCCTTGGTGTCCAATTGGTTTTCTCCGTCCCCGTGAGATGACACTTGTCTCGAACGCGGCCACATGTATCTGTACGTAAATTACAGCAGTGGGCTAGGGCCCAGCCACACGTTTCTCAAAAACGGAGTCATTGCTGTGCAACGCTCGCGTGCTTCCGCTCGTAGTGGCCAGGCAGGCAAGCGTGGATACGGCGCGGCCAAGCTCCCCGCACAGATACCACGCCCAGCCGCTCGTTCTGAATGCTTACATGCTGGCATCTGACCAGCGAGACGATCCTGGCGGCTAGCGGCACGCAGGGAAATGCCGGAGCAACATTGGATGTTCAGCTCGACGAGGCCTGCAAGGCCAACCACACACGAACAGACGAGAGGTCGAGTTGCCATGGCTGCCTGACCCGCTTTGCCTCTGCCCTTGCTGCGGCCCGCTTCCCTGAACCATGTGATGTCACGGTCTCGCGGTGGGGTTGCTCGCATCGCTGAGGTCAAGCCAGCTTGAGAGGATGGACGAACAGCCATCTCCCCTCTCCAAGCCGAGTGATTGTGCTCTTCGTATCATGCTGCACCGCCCTCGACCGCTTCTGATCGCATTTGGAGGAGGAAGGCCGTTTGATGGTGATGGGGAACGAAGAAGCTGGACTATTCAGCTCATAGCAGACGTAAGGCTGTGTGGCACGGCAGGCCCCGGGATTTAGCGGGGTGATCCGGGTCAGGTTCGAGCTTGGGCACATGTGCGGTAGATTTCTGGCGGGGTCACCACCAAATGTCATCCGAGACACGATGTCCCTGGCTGCATCATATTCCTTCACCCAGTACCTCGGAAACAATGTCGACCGAAGGTGCAGACGATGTGGTTCTGGATTCATCCAGTGTTTCGGAAATAATAAAACAAGATGCAAACGTTGCGATTCGGGAGTTGGGCTTCTACTACGAGGATGACGCGACTGTCGGAACGAAAACCTCAGCCATGATCAAGAGACGCATCGACTGCCAGTCAAAAGAAGGCCTGGACTTTTACGAGGCCAACATCCTGAACGACAGTGTAGGTCCTATATTGAGTACCTCCTTGATCCAGCTGACGATTCCCCAGCGCGTACAAGACATCCTCGACTCGTTCTTTCCGCCTTCGTCCCGTATCGTCATGGCGCGTTACAGAAATTTCTCAAGCGATCCCAACCATATCTTCCAATACAGAGTTGGAGGTGAGGCAGGCCGAGGAGTCTTAGTGGTTCAGCTATGGGACATTGGATCAAGAGGTGGTTATTACGCTCATTCCCATCGCCATGCGCTGGGACCAGTACACGCCTCCAACGGCCTGTTTGAACCGGCTATCGCTGCTTTGAAGAACGCAGGCTGCAGCGAGCGCACGACAGTAGACTTTGAGCACGGCGGACTGTACGTCAAGATGCCAGCGTGGTGATATTTTCTGACATTCTATAGAACTTTCCAGGACGCCCGAACTGCCTTCAGAATTGAGCAAGGTGCTCTAAACGCTGCGGTCTTTGCTACGGAAGAGATAGCTAAAAGGTGGCCCCATATGATCTTACTGGATACGCCGGACATCAGACAAAAGGTCACAGAGATTGCAGAAGCACCGGCCAGTGATGCAAACACGCCGTCCCATTTCAGGCGCCGGCCCGGGCTGCACGCTCAATTCAAGACAGTCGAGTCGTCGTAGCAAGCTTCCAATGAATCACCGCGACAGAGGTCCGTAGCCAGCTGGTGGAGATAAATTTGGGTAGACACGTCGTCTAAACCGGTGAAATCATAGGTAGTTGATGGCTTATTGAACCAGTAAGGGGCAAGAGGGTCGGGTAGACTGCCGAAGGTTGGCGCCAGAGAATCGCAGACGGGACTTCCAGCTTCATCAATGTTGAGATGATCAACACCCAAGGGTTTTGCCAATCTATCTTCTTGTTCAGGGTTCAAAGTAGAGGCTTCGCCCAACTCGCCCAGATCGACTTGGGCCCTCTGGGCCGGCTCTTCACCTGTCTTGGAGGGCTGTCGCAACTCCGGACCCGTGCTTCTTACCGCCTCTTTTCCGGATTTCAACATGACGACTTCGTCCGACCAGACCGAATCGACTCGAGCCTTCTTGGATGGCTGTGGCGTGTCCGAGTTTGAGTTGACAGCTTCTAGTGGTCTCTTCCTAGGCTGAGCGTTGACCTTCTCCGCTGCTGGCCCATGACATACTTGCATTTCTCTCAATTTAGAATCCGCATCTGCTTTTAGATTCGCTACCACGGCGCCTGTACCGTGTGACTTTGTTTCGCATTTGTGGGCAATGAAAGCGCTTGCGCTTTTGAACTGTTTAAAGCAAAAGACACACGTTTCCTCGCAGGCAAAGTCTGGGCCTCAGTCAGTAACTCAACCCTCTGCAGAACGAAAAGTCTCACGCGTCAAATAGTGCCTCCGGAGATTTCTTGGTCTGGTAACTTTAAATTGGCAAATTGGACAAATTCTCGAGGAGGATGAGTCATCTTTGAGGATTCTGGTGCGGTGCGCTCGACAAGCTTCGAGTCTAGCTAGAAGATACTCTTCCTCCTCCTGGGCCAGTTAGTTAAACGACAATTGAGAGCTGTTGTGAACTAACTTGGTAGTATTTAATATGGCTCTGAAGTAACTCATTTGTGGAGAAGTTTTCCTGACAATGTTGGCACTGCTTGCGTTTGTGGACTTCTTTGGCCATGGCGGTGATAGGATGGATGACGCCCGAGCATGCGGGAGGTGGAATCCGCTCGTGGATTTGTCCAGCTTTATGCTGGGCGGGTCCTGTCAATTAAGGCTAATTGCCCCGATGCGGGGCTAAGATGTGGGCCCTGGCATGTGACTTCTTGGCGTTCGCGGGACGACGTGGCAGAAGATAGAGGACCCCGTGATGTGAAAATCCCGCAGGAACCTTCATCCATTTTAGATACCTATTTCCACGTCGCCGATACTTCCCCACTTTGAGCCTTCATGAGTTCTACCTTTTAAAAGACACCACTCCTTGTTGAGTCTGAAGCCGATCCTGTCAATTCTTTACTATTCTACAAAGAGATGCCTGGGAACGAACCCAAATGTGGAAACTGCGGTGGTTCGGGCACGAAGGACGGAATGATGTGTGGCAGTTGCAATGGCGGCCGCGGATAGATGCACTGACAGCTGGCTCTCAAGCATGTGAGGCTGCTATATTCGTTATCAGATCGTCTCGCCCTGACTGGCATCTAGGACAAAGTGCATCGTTGGCCAGAAGCCGACGACTTATGACTGGAACGAAGGGGCAGCGTACCAGCGCCAGGCCTGGAGATGGCTGGAACTATCCCGCTCCCGTTTATTAGCAAGCACATGACAGCTCACTGTCTTGGTTGATCTACAACATGTTTTCTCGGTTCTGAAGGCCTGCTCAGAGAAGGAATGTCCGCTGGAGAGGCAAGGTCTGGGTCGCCCCTCAGAAAAGCAAACACCACACTAAGGGTTGGCTCAGATGGTCAAGGAGATCTGTGGCAGGGTCGACTTTGGTCTGCCAAATGTGCGATTGTTCGGGTACCCGAAGCAGGCGTAAAGTTCTGGCTGCAGAAAGGCGCACGCTCTCCTGACGTTATACCCCCAGTGACCCGAGCATATAATAATAGAACTCACGATCCCATCCAGGCGGCAGAGGAAGCCTCTTCCAGCATTGTCAACCGGTGCAACCCCACACCAGTCTGATGCACTGATATCCAGTCCTCCCGGTTGGGCGTCAGTCAAGCTCTCCTGCTCCACGCTCCATGCCTCTTGACCCTCGGCCACGCTGGAGTCTTGTTGTGGAACACTCTTCTGATAAGTCAAATACTTCGTCTTTCTCCCTTGTAAAACCAACCCAAGTTGTGCCATTCACATTGGGCAGGGGTTGAATCGGTGAAGGGAATCTATGAGAGTGTCGGATACAGACACATGATTTACAAGCTCTCAGGATTCAGCGGTGCATAGGCTGTTGTGCATGTGATTGAGGCATGTGGGTCTATCAGCACTCTGATTTGATCACCAACACATTTCTCTATGTTTCTTATACCACCAGCTTAAAAGCAACCATCACTGTGAACTGCATATAGTGACTGGAAGTGAACGGTGACTGGAAGTGAATGGTGACTGGAAGTGAATGGTAACGGAGTTGATAGTAGGCTGTCGAGGCAGTGTGGTCTTCCAATCATGCATCCAATCAGTCTTTAGGATATTCATTATTGGGCCCCTCCACACACACATCTGAAGTCCACCACAATCTCTCCACTGGAAATCCATCATCAAGCTCATGCTGATTAACCTTCTTACTACGTGAGCAGTAACGTGAGTGTTTGCACTCGTATAATGAGGCAGCCATGTTATGGATTATGTACTGTGCAGGACTTGCTCACGCCTCCTGGTGCTGGGAGCTGTCCAAGCGAGAATATCCGGTCTGCAGTGCTTCTCAGAGTAAAATCAAGGCACGATGCAATTTGCATATCTCTTTGTATTCTGTTGAGGCATCATAGTCATAGAGGCAAAACCAGTAATGAACCAGGACCATTCTTTTCTCACTAGTAACTCATCTGTACCTCAAAATGCGATAATCCTCGTCCTCCCGTTCCCCTGCGGCACCACGTGGGATGCCATGTTCGCGACATTCCTTGTCCCAAGCCTCCAGTTCTTCCTTGCTTGGCCGCTCATTCGGTGCTGCATTCTGTTCGGCTTTTGAAAATTGGGTTGTTAGAAGACGAATCCTAATCTTGTTGTATAGACTAACCTTCAATTTCCTTTGCTGTTGCACTATCACCACCTCTACGAAACGACTCTGCGATTTCCATTGCGTCTTTCTTAAAGGTTGGTTGAATGCGATACCCCAACCGCTGAGCAATCTCAGCACGAATTTGGCTGTCGTTGCTCTTCTTGTTGGTCATGTTGTTCTAGAGTTCAAGGGAAGATTGAAAGAAATTGATTAATTGAAAGGAATTGATTGTGGATACGGAGTTGGGGCCTGGGGCCAACTGGCCTTGTTTTTATATCGCAGTGCAATCGTTGATGAGCACGTGGACACACCTACAGCGGTGGCATCCCAACAGCCCTGTTCACACAGCTAGGCAGATCTTTTCTCCGTGCCAATTTGTGAAATCCGATTGGAGTTGTGTCAATTCTGACCGGACCGATGTTGAGTAACCTCAACAGTTGTACATTAATCGAGGGCTGATAGGAAGGGCGCTGCCGGCGAGCATTGTAACAATGAAACCTCAAGCTACAGGATCGGCAGTGGCTGGTAGTGTGTTGGGCCAGCACGCATCACTGGCACACATGGGCCTACATCCTCAGCGCTATCGCTCATGGGTATCTCGTAAATTCTGGCGCCTGAAAGTACATCTACTTTGATTCAACAGACAGAGCCCATTCTGTGATCCAGAGCCCTTTCTGTGATCCAGAGCCCTTTCTGTGATCCAGAGCCCTTTCTATACCCTGTCCAGAGCTCATTCTCCCATGTCCAGAGCCCATTCTCCCCTGTCCAGAGCCCTTTCTATACCCCTGTTCAGAGCCCATTCTCCCCTGTCCAGAGCCCTTTCTATACCCCTGTCCAGAGCTCATTCTGTGCCCCTGTTCAGAGCTCATTCTCCCCTGTCCAGAGCCCATTCTCCCCTGTCCAGAGCCCTTTCTATACCCCTGTCCAGAGCCTATTCTCCCCTGTCCAGAGCCCATTCTCCCCTGTCCAGAGCCCTTTCTATACCCCTGTCCAGAGCTCATTTCCCCTGTCCAGAGCCCATTCTCCCCTGTTCAGAGCCCATTCTGTGATCCAGAGCCCTTTCTGTGATCCAGAGCCCTTTCTATACCCCTGTCCAGAGCCCTTTCTGTGCCCCTGTCCAGAGCCCATTCTGTGATCCAGAGCTCTTTCTGTGCCCCTGTCCAGAGCCCTTTCTATATCTTGGGGGTGCTGTACTAGTGACCCGCATGGTGCTGGGAAAAGGGCAGGGGGGTCTTGGTAGACTAATTCACTTCTACAGGCCTGGAGGATACGAGGTGCCCAAAACAGACAAGCACACATATGGAAACGCAGTGTCCTCAAAATTATATACTTTACTATCAATCATTATTATCTTTGATAAAAATAAAAATCTGTTTCTTTACACTCTCTTGGAACTCTGCGGAGATCAGAGTGCAAGAGAGAGTGAGATAAAACTTGTGTTTAGGCGAGCCTGGCATTGTTGTGTTTACTTTGAAACACATATTGTCAGACGGCCTTTTCAAGCTGCTATCTATATGAAGGCGGATCGTATCGCTTGGAACGATCATTTGCTCAGACAATGCCACTAAATGTCCCTCGAGATTGTATCGAATAGAGTCTGTATCTAACAATCGACCTGCTACAGTTGAAGACAGCGTGGCCCTCCAAGTGAGATCTAGCGAGGTCAATATGTAGTAGAGATATATTGTGAGTCGGCTTTTTACCTCTAGAGCGACTGGTGTGAGGAAGGTCTACAACACGTCCCACCGTGGTCTCGGATGCATGTGCGTTGGTGATTACCCACAAAGTCGATTCAGGAACTGGGGAGGTCAGCATATAATTTGAATATCAAAGGAAGCTACATAACCTACCTGAAGTTTTCTCAGAATCAGCCGCCATCCCCCTTCTCTTATTTGGATCATGCGTATCGGTCGCGGGCGAAAAGGATCTGGTTGGGCTTGGGCTTCTGGATGGATCAAAGTTTTCCAGAGGGAGTATCATTCGATTGCTAGCCATTCGAGCCTGGGATTATGGTGGAGGGAACAAGGGTAACAAAGAACGGAGATAAAATGGTTGCTGAGAATAATGGTCCCTTATGACTGAGTAGCGCTATATTTATCTGTCGCTGGAGGTGGCAAGGGGGGGGGGCGCTTGGTATCAATGAGCTAATGGCAGCATGTACTTGAAGTACCCACATTTATTTCGTGACTTTTGGCAGCCACGAAGCGACTGGGTCACACATTGCTTGGGGCGGCAGGGTCGTCTGCAGAAATGCATCTTTCTGGTTGGTAGAAGGAACGCGCTGAACGTGCACAGTGCATATCGTGTTTGAGAAGTCGCAGGTAAAAGCACCACGAATCCTACCAGGGGTGCCCCGTCTGTGTTGCCTCCAATGTGCGAGACGACTTCTGAGACTTCGGCAAGAACGCTCGACCAACGCTCCACGTCGCACGACTCCTGATCATCTGCAATCTGACTGACTAGTTAGAACCAAAGCCCAGTTATCAGCGACTGGAACACTGTGATAGAAAGCGATTAGATCCGGACGGGTGGGGGATCAGGGCACGGCTGCGGTGTCAAAGACTGTGGACGGCTTCAACAACATCAGGTTGACCTCGACATGCAACAAATTGTTGGCAAACACAGGGTACCGCCAGCTCTAGCGCCGGAGATCTCATTTCATTTGGTCTTGCTTGGCGGCGAATTAGGCAGCACGTCCTACTGCACTCCCCTCAGTGAGGCCGAGAGCGAATTCTGGCCTGGCCTCATCCGTCTCAGGGGGAGGATGGGCACATCGGCTTTCCCTTTCGGATTTATATTCAAATTTGTACAATGTTCTATCGACTGATCTTTGGTGCATACTGGATGAGGATCTGGTTCACATCGACTTGACCTTGCTGCTCCTTACAGTAAATTACACACCAATCAGAGCAAGTATATGTGGTGTTAGGATATTTCACTCGAGGGGGTTGAACTCAGCTCGACCCGCCTGCATGTGCAGACTGCGTCTAGTTATTATCTAGCATGACGACGAGCTGCAGGACACGTCGCTGACGTGTTCCGGGCACCTCAGGTCACTCTATGGCCATCCAGTGTAGGCAAGGGTCGTGTGTGTGTGCGCGCGTGTGTGTGTTCTTTGGTGTCGAAGAGAGTATGGCAATGAGCCCATCGATGAATATAAAGCCTTGCCCTTCTCTCATACATCTATGTCTTCTGGCACTCGATGTAGCAAATTCGCAAGAGCATCATCACTTATTGCTTCACGTCAACACTTGCAGGGTGATCCGCATCTCTCTGACTACATCTTTATCACCTCAGGAGGCACAGATTCAGTCATGCCATCAGAGCAAGGGAGTTCAGGGCCTCCGGCACCCGCCAATCCTCCCAATACTTCCTCTTCCAACACCTCGTCGGTAAGTACTGGACAGTCAGCTTTCGTAACCGTGACTAATGAGAAGAAAAGTCGTCAACCAGTGGTGCTGGACCAAAGATACACGACTTGGATGATGTCGTGGAGCCGTCTGAGAAAGCAAATTGAATGGTTGAGAGTGAAGTGTGAGATAGTACATCTAGCAGAAACGGAATGAAAAATATTGATATGGCGCACGTTTGTGATTTGATGCATCTCGCTCAGTGCGTTTTCCCCGTCACCGTTGACTGAGCTCAATGCCACCAGAGGAAGATATTGTGAACAAATAGACGTTCAAACAATTATGTCACGATGCCACGAAAAATCCCTAGGGTGCCAGTCAAGGCCCATCCCCACCATTCCAGACCAACCTGCCTCCCGCTCAAAACCAGCAGACCAGCCACCCTATATTTCTATCCTCGAAGAATTGTCCTGCCATTGAAGTGGCAGTCGGGCATCCTCTCAAACACAGCCTTGATCGTCCACCTTTTGTCCTGTATATTCCCCGCTCGGAGACATTTTCTCATGTCTTGTTCCTGATGGCATGTCCTCGCTTGCGATGATGACAGAATTGTAAATATCATCTACAGGCTCAAATTTGAAAGAGCCCGGCGGCTTCCTAAACAGGCCGGCATCAATATAAATATTGAAGGCAGACGCATTTATTGACCGTTGAATCTGTCCAGCAGTGGAGACGATTTTTGGTTGTCGCAGTAGTAAATTGATAGCATTGTCGCTGTCTCGGTTCAAGAGGTCGGAGAACACAGTGTTTCCTGTAACACTGGCCGCGCTGGAGTGTTCAAAATTTGCAGTAGGTTGTACGTCTAACCTGTCTAACAGATGAGTACTTTTACAATAAATTTGCTAGTTAGACGAACCAAAACTTATCGAGAGATAGGAGAAGATCGGTCCACATTCCTCTGAACGTCGGAACAGAGTGGTAAAGCAAAGCTAGGATGCATTTCGCTTTGTCAACCACAGCAGACACACATTCCACACTGGCGGGTGGCAGGGGAGTAGGGATCACTGTGAAGGAGCTGAATGCTTCGATCAAAGACGATGGAGATGTATCGCGGCCGGTCTGTTGCGCGAGGACGACGCAGGCGTACTCAAATATAACCACTCTGGAATGAACTAGCCCCCAAGCCTTCCACTCAATGGCGGAAGCTTGTCTCAAGTTCTCCATGTTGAGTACCTGATACATCATTGCCCTTCTTGACTCCTCTTGCAGAAGAAGGTTATGGAACCCCCAGGCCAGGGCCTCGAGATCTTGATATATGAGTGCGGTATCCATATTTAGAAGGGGTATTGAAAGTGAAGTGAGTTTGGATCTTCCCGTCGACAAAGATCCGTCAAGTAGGGGCGGAAGGAGAAAAGGTGGAAGACAAGGGGGAAGACCAAGATCATAGCCCTGGAACACTATTTAAGAAGCCAGGTGGTGGCAAGCCATGGGTACCAACAAACATTCCGTAGATCAACCACGAGTGAGTACACGACTGCACATTTAGAAGCCTTGTCATAAGAGGGCTGCATTCAAATGTGACCATACGTACTGATGTCTCGTATCATCGCCGCGGGCTGGCTCGTCTCTCATGCGCGCGTTGGTGACCGCATGGCCGCATGGCGTCCATGAATCCACAAGGACTGGGATTGATTAGCTCTCCAGTGAAATGAGTCAGTAGCTGCGACCTGGCGCCGCAGTTCCATAGAGGACTTCCGCCCCTGGACGGCGTCTCGTATGATGAAATGGGATAAGACACCAACGGTCGAGGGGGCTGGATTCAGTATTCGTCCACACCCACCCACAAGCAGATGAATCACACCGGGCTCAATCACCCGATCTAAGCGCCGGGCTTTAACACGAGTGATTACCGGGATATATTCCATCTGCGTGAGCTGAGCACCTCTTATCGTTCACTCGACGTTGCCTCATGCCACAGCTCCCAACCAGCCATAACCTGTCTCTTTGGTCGTCATCCCCCGCGGGGTGGCCTTCTGCAACGATATACGCCTTCATACCTATCTATATATACTCCCGTCAGTCCAGTTTATCCACCCATTACCTGTCTGGCCATCTACCCACTTACTTACCTATGCGCCTGCCTATCCATCTATTCATTCACCCATCTATACGTTTGATCATCTATTCATTCTACATGCCTAATTTGGATCATATAAGAGAGACAATCACAGCGCAGAGGAATGAACTTATCAAATCTCGTCAACTTGATCAAGACCAACAGCGCAGGGTTGTAGCAGCTGTCAAGCTGCTCAGGGAAGGTTCCCAGGGTTGGGAATCAACAAAAGATCTCTCACGACAAATGCAAGTCAGAGGCAACAGAGCACAAGCGCTGATCCGCCTTATCATCAATGGTGCCGGGGCTGATTCAGCTTTACTGTGTGCGATGTGTCTCCCGCGCACCTCTCTTTCGGACTTATCCAACAGCCTTCACCAGCCTCTTTGTACATGGCTGGCGTCCGAAGGACTGAAGCTCGATGAATCCGCTCTGCAGCTTTTTGATATAAACGTGAGAGAAGCATTTGGGGTTGCAAATCAGTGCGTGAAGATTACAGATCCTCCTATCTCATCGTCTCCGATCACTGGACAATCGCGGCGACTAGAAAACACCTCGAACGAGCAACCTTCAACGGCACCACAAGCTACTACTGTGGCGCAGGTTTATGGTGAAGCCTCCACGCCCGAGCATGTGGCTACATGTGTCATCGAAGAGACGGGGGCAAAGGGTCAGAAAGACCAAGACCGTGCCCAGTTACCAGAATGGATGTGTAAGTCCCAGTCGCTCCACTACACGGCCTAACGCTCATAGGTGCTCTCACTAAGAAAGTTTTACCAGGTCCCTGCACCCAATGCTATGAACGCTATAAGGATTTGTTTAAGCGAAGGTGGGATGATTAATTTCTCCACACGAGACTGCGAGAAATATACCACGTTCATTACTTTCTTATATAGCAAGGCTTTATCAATGCAATTAGCGAGCAAGTGTCCACGGTGAATATAAGTAGAAAGAGGCTGGTGCCAGGTTCAAAGTTTTGCTCCTTATAATACTGATCAGGTTTCTCTCATCTTTATGATACCAACTGGACACCCTGCTACCAAGGCATTAAGTAATGATGATGAGGCCAACCTTCATGGAGTGTGTGAGCATGTCGTTTTCCCTTTCTTGACTCTTCTCTTACACACATACCCACTTTTGGCCTGCCACATTTTTTCAAAGGTATGAGACTGATCCACTTCCTGCATTTTGTTTGCCCAGGCTTCATACAATAGTCTTTTGTCCATCGACTTAGCGGTGATTGTGTTAACAGAACAAGGAGACACTAACACAAAAGCCCTGCATAATAAAACTGCGCGTCATGTTCATCAAGAGTGACATAGGCCAAGACTGCTGGAGGCTGAGTGAAAGAATGGTAGATGTAGGATGGTAAGCAGGGTCAATCCAGGGTTAGGGGCTCGCCCCGTCCAGCCCACCGCCGGAAACCTAAGGCGGTGGACCACGGCGGTAGACACGTGGCTCGACCCCGCAGACAAGCAGGCTCAGGGCCGGGAACCCACGCTACCAACCACAACCACCTCACACGTCCGCTTCATCGATGATTCTGACTACATTGTAAAAGTGAAAAAAGAGCTGCACGGTCAGATATTTCTATGTTGATCATCAAATCTACAGACGCCCATCAGAATGCGGACCTTCAGAGGATTCTTAGTGAGATCCAGACATTGGCCGACCAAGTTTCTTGTTACTGCGAAGACATGGGAAATGTTCCCGCCGGGTCAAATTTGATGAGGTTACCTATTCCTCTCCTGCCCGGTTGCGCACAAGAACTCGACGATCTATATCACAATAATGAAAACATAGTTTGTTTACCTAAAAATGGAGAAAGAAATACGAAATGAACCAATACTAACAAAATAAAAGCAAGCTATAATACATAAATTGGCCGATGAGAAGGACTTAAATATTAAGCTTGAACAAAGATTTGCTGGGCCACAGATAATATGGATTCGAGAAGGCGGCGTATCAGCAAAGATAGGACGGATTTCGTTTTTTATAGTCTTACATCGGCCAAAGCATAGGCAAGTTGAATCGGAAGGGGACATGCCCCGAGAAGAACCACCTTCTGAAGGCATAATTGATAGACCCATTGCCGAAAACCAATTTGTTCAGTCAACTTTCAGATGTCAAGTGGGGGATATCATCATCCTTGAAGGGGGAGAAAGGCTGAGGTCTCGCGAGGAAGGTGATGCAAATCCTCACGATCTTTGTTTGCTCGCAACTTTGCACAGTACAAGGCAAAAGGAGGAGATCGCGCCAGAATGACAGATCATGGGTACTTCGTGCCTGATTCCACTGTATCATCGAGGTCAATCACCATGGCGGTGACGTTGCCACCCACATGCCGGCCACTGTGACCTCGACCGGATGCCGGACGTACTGTGCAGGCTTTGCAAAAGAACGTCTGGCTATGAGGATTGCCCTGCCTACCGGAGAAGCCGGCGGCCGCGCCATCACCAAAGTTGTATCGCCCACGAATCGCCTGCAATTCCAAGTGTTTGGAGACAGACACATCCCATGCTTTCCTTATCTCGGACATCTCGAACCCTACCGCTACAAATCCTGTTGAGAGGAAGGGTGTGAACTGCAGAGGAGCGAGGTTGGGAATTCCAATGTCTTCACAGATGGTGTGATACCTCTGCTATCTCAGCCTCTGATTTTCTGAACAAGGTAGTACACACTTACGGGACTTTGGTAAATAGACCGCTCAGCAAAACTCCAGGCAAGGGGAGCCAGCAGTAGTCAAGAGGTATATGGATCTCGCCACGCAGGTCCTCAGATACCAGGGCACTAAGACGTTCAACATCTTCAGCGGAGCACTCAGATGCCTGACGCAGTTTGTAACATTGCTCTGGAACCTATTAGCTGTGTCTTTAGGAAGGAATGCATATCTACTACCTGCAAGCGCATCGTACACCCCCATCGCGGCCGCACCCTCAGAAACAAGGAGGCGATTGACAATCAAGTTGGCCAGCTTCGCCCCCCTGGCTGCCAGGCGCTTGCGGCCTCCGCGCCGTTTGTCTCTGATAAGTTGTAAGCAAGAGAGGATAAACCATGAGGTCCAGGATCTTCTCTTGATTTGCGACTCTCGAGACTCTGCCGCGAGTGCATGCTCCACTCGATCTAAGTAGACGTCAAAGCTCTTGTCCGTTGTTTGCTGTATGCACTGATAGATTGCATGGGTATAGTTATTCGGATCGATACATTCCTGCTTCCCTTCACGTTTTTCCCTTTTTTCCTGCCCGGTCTTTATTTTCTTGGACAGAATGCGCGAGAGAGTGCGCAGCTTGCGATCTGAGTCGTCTCCGGCTGACGTGCCGCCCACAGACCCGTTCACAGGCCGGATGTTGGTAGCAGAGCTTGGCTCGCCGCACGCGGCAGGAAATGCTTGCGTGGCAAAAGACATGGAGTGGGCGAGTGCATTGGGCTCTTGCAGCGCAAGATTTGGTCATTGCTCCATGGGTCGCTCATGGGTCGCTTGATGTTTGGTCGTTTGCGAGTCTGAAGGGCAGCCCTTCATTCGTCGTGTTAGAATTTACCAAGTAAAAGCGGGGAAAGGTCCTGATTTGTGGCTTTCAAAAGTCACGAAATAAAAGTGGGTAACTCGTATTGCCACCCCCGCGTTTCGTGACTGTGCGAAATTAGTCTCAGGGAGCATGCCGGTCAAGATGATGCAGCCCGGAATCACAATCGGCGACCCACTCACACTAAGGTTTTCCCATGCAGAAGCTATCAGGGGCGGGGCTGGATGTATAAAGGAAGAGCACGCCTGAGGGGGGGGTCTGTCTTACAACTTAGTCTTGGAATGAAATATGTCGTTCCTGCAGCCACATCTGGTTGCCTTTCTGCCTTTCCCCCCCAATACTCGATCTCCCTGTGAAGCTAGATCTGGTTGCCTTACTTGCCTTACTTGCACTTTTAGTTGTCGCCTTTCCATCGGGTTTTCATACCCCCGCTAGCAAAGCCCCCAATGTTAATTACGACAGTTTCTGCCTCTGTGTCACCTCGACAGGCCAAGGGCAATGGCCATGAAGAAACGTGCCACGGTGGAATCTTTCAAGAGATTGTGATTGAACAGGTAGTACAATCTTCACCCGCGGCGGGAGTGGTTCCCTGATTATCTTCACTAGAAAGCTGAAAAAATTCCTGACGAGCTTCTCACGAGGCCGTCGGACGATGAGACATGGAGGCACTATTTTGTCCTTGTACTTCAGCTCCAACCTCTGCTGCCCTCTTTTGAGAAAATCCTCTCAATGCACATCGTTGGGAAGACTTCGGATGATAAGTATTACGATGTTGTTATGTGCGACTCTTGCGCCCAATACCTCCACCATATCGGTTGCGCATTCGAACTCGAGTCTGATGATTTCGAGTCCGTCCACTCCGAGTCCGTCGAGCCCGCCGAATCCTTCGAGTCCGAGGACTTCGAGTTCGTCCACTCCGAGTCCGTCGAGCCCGCCGAATCCTTCGAGTCCGAGGACTTCGAGTTCGTTCACGCCGAATCTGCCGAGCCCATCCAGCCCATCAATTTCGTGTCTGTCAATGTTGTGTTCGTTGAGTTTGGAAAGCTCAAGTTTGATGACATCGAGTCTGCGGGCTCTGGTGAGCCTGTGTACGACGAGATCGAGTCAGAAGAGCTCCGAAAATCCATTCATTATGACGTGTCGCAGCCAAAACAGAGAGAGATCAAGGTCTATGGAACCCCCGAAGGTACAACAAGGGCCAGAGGTCGATTCATCGTGAACGCCGTACGCGCGATTTCCTCGGCAGATCACGGACGAGGCCTTGACCAATACTACCTTTCCAGCCCCAATTACACCAACAACCGCGGCTTCTTGGTTGCAATCAAATGGGCGGTCTTTTTACGCAGCGTGAGGGTACGTGCACTTGTGCAACCAGAAACCTGAGAGAAGAATCTAATAGCAATTAGTCCTCCAAGAAAGATGTTATGCGGCAGTTTTTTCAGAACTGCTTGTTTATAATCCTACATACACTTAATGACTTGGATACTGCTTGCGACTTAGAGTTCACAGAGTGGGATGATATCGCGTGGCTCTCGCTCTTGGAAAAGATCTGTTTGACAAGATGGCAGTTACAAAGCACAGAGGCGGACATGCAAGAGCTATCGCTCCTACAAGCTGTATTCGAATCCGCTTGCGATAGAGCGCGACCAAATTTGCTGCATGCCTTTAACTCAGCCCAGGGAAACCTCGAAACGCTCAGTTCTCTCTTTTTTGATGGCGCTACACTAGAGGCAGTCCCATTTGGCGGTCTTGATAGGATGAGCTTGGAGCGTTGGCTTCCGCAGTTCAAGGTCTTCGAAGACTGTGACGAGCTGGATGTCACTAAGTTCGAAGAGAAGATAATCAGCTGTGTGCCGTTGTAAAAATGATCCCTGTGTGGTGAGAGGATGGATTTATATGCTCCTTGGATGTATGGCTTTCGCAGTTGCCATTTGTTTCCTCTTCTGGTCTTCTTATCAGAACGGCTTTTTGCAGTATGTCGCGTTGGGTAATCATAATTTATGGACAGAGTGCTCGATGCATGGGAGTTTCTATCTTCTTAAACTAAATTATTACAGATACTTGAAGGGCACTAAAGAGTACGGGCAGTCTTCGATGTTCATTGCCGTTACAAGAAACACGATTACAAAGCCGTTCCATCCAACAAGAGTCCACACCTAGCCCATTCTTGCGAGTCAAGAGATTTCCCTCACTTGCCAGAAGGAGCGGAGTCTACCCGACCTACCCAGCGACCTGTAATTGCCTTTTCTGGTAGCAGCGCTGGCCCCGCCCCAGATTGTGTGTTCGACCGTTGGGCAGATGGATATTCGCATAATTCGGACACGGAAAACCCAGTTCTACTCGGCTACGGTTCCGTGGGCATCTTCGATTGTGGCATGGGAGTTGAGTTACTGGGCGCCAGCTTGGGGAGCTTGGGGCGTGATGGTTCGGCCTGGCCAGCTCTCTTTCGCTTGACGCCCGCCATACTGTCTCGGTCTTCTGGGCCGATTCTCGAATACTTGATCCGGGAGTTCGATTGGCTGAGTTGTTGGGCATTTGACTCATATATCGGTACCTGCTGATGCGCGTCGTCCAAGCCTGCTCTTATCCGTGGAGTCTGTGTAACCCCTTCTGGGGTGATTTCAGATCTTTGAGTCGAGTGAGGCCTATGAAGGATGCATTGCCTTAAAAATCGAGTCAAGTGATGCGGGCCACTTTCGAAATGGGTGGCATCATCGATCATCAATCTGCAATCATCGCATCTAGATGCTGGCGGCAAGAGCCCGGCATCGTAGAAACCATGTCGAATTCGATGCTGTTCAACACGAGCAGCAGGTGGTGCCCATATACAGTCTTGTCGAGGACAAGATGGAGCTGGAATAGTCGTATGAGCTGTGATGTAGTGTCTTTGGAGTGACACGCCATCATCGACGACAAAGGGTCGACCGTTATCAAAACAAATTTTGCATCCAAGAGATTGCCACCAGGCATTTGTTGGTCTAGGTGTCATGGTGATAGATTCTGACATGACTAGAGTCTTTCGATGCACAAGTAATTGCGTAGTTGGGACCTGAACAGTCAAGAACTGGGACGCTGGCGAGTAAGCAAGGCCTCTAAATTCATTCAAGCCCCCCTGCAGCTGGGGAAGAGACAAGGGTCTGGCGGAAATAATGCGCTGGGATAGATCTGGTTAGTCGCAAACGTCCGGGAGCAGCATCCCTCGGACCCGGCTGCCAGGTGGAGTCATTGTTGCTTGAGCTTGATGATGTGAGCCGATTGTGGATGAAGACCGGTGTACTATCAAGAAACTCACTCCGTACTTCAGGGTGTATCCTTGATCGATAGCTAGGGGTGTGCAATCGAGATGATACACACTGTGGTGGGAGAGCCGGTGGTCTGGCGTAAGCGGGGATCTGCAAGAGTGCTCTGTGATCCGGCTAGACAGGACTGCAGACGAGATGTGAGGCACGCCCCACACCGGGAAACTGAATTTCACTCCATCCCATCACGGGTTTTCGACGTCTCGAGCCAGTGACATGCATCACGCTTACCAGGTACGTAGGGATGCAGAAGCAAAGAGGTATTGGCGCCCGCAAATTGTGCCACAGATAACCAGCTCTCTCTGGATGATCCAACCAGAATATACCAAGTTGCTGGTCGGGCAGTGAGGTCGCAGACGATCCCTACCTTCGACGAATGATCCTTTCCTGTCGAGTATACACTAACACAATTATGGGTACCGTCTCGAAAATAGATCGATTTATCCATGGCAGGTTGTCTGCAATACGTTCAGCCACACCGTAGAGACTGTCCCATATAATGAAACCGTTGCCCGGCTGCCATGGGCCATTCGGGTCGCCCTTGGTCGATGCGGGTCGCTCTTGGTGTCATGACAGGACATGTCATTGCCTTCAAAAATTGTATTTTCCACGAAATTTGCCGCAATGTGCAAAGTGAATAAGGTGCGCCACCCAGAGTAGATCATTGGAACAGTGCTCACACTCATTAGAATAAGTGGAAATGCGGGCATCCCAGTCGTGACGTTGAAGGCTGGTGTCACGACTACACCATCCATGGGAAGTGCAAAACAATGTATTTTGATGAAATTGAAAGGAAAGATAAGGCTTGCTGTGAGTACAAATTCTGCCTTCAAGTTCCGCACTACTGATGAGCCTCAGCCCGATGCCGTAAGCCGCACAAAAAGACAGACTGGGATTATTTGATCACACCCCCTTCTCCATACCAAGACTGGTGGAAGTTTTTGCGGAACCCGGACAAAATACTGCTTGATCGATGTCAAGATCTGGAGAAGTCAAAGCGGGAATGGGTGCACGTGGGCGGCGCTCCGATAGAAGAATGCGCAAAAGTAGTAGAGGATCGCAGAAGAGCTGCGGCGTTGTCACGTGAATAAAAAGGGGTTGAAGAAGTGTAGTAACTTTGAACTTGCTATGGGTTGGTCCTGCTAAGGTGATGTGACTTGGTCCTGCGGCGCCTGCAGGCAGGACTCAGTGCTGTTGCAACACGATCATGTCTCCTGCCCGGCCCGCTTGGAAACGTTTGGCGAGAGACGGATTGAGCGCTGCTGTCCCCGCCTGAAAATCTGCTGTCGCCAACTGTCCCAAGTCGATTGTTGATCCGCAGAGCATTATTTCATGTGGATACTTAGAAGTACTGAGCACTGAGAAATTCAAAGTCGTTTATTCTAATGCAGCTTACAATGCCCTTAAACGTTTGTATGTCCCAAAGCCAGGACAGCAAGCCCATCAGTGGCTGACTAAGCTAACTGATGCATCAGTTACCAAAGTGCTCCGTGCGCAGCCTCGGCTCTCCTTATCGGTTCCTGTTGCTCCCACATCTGGGCACCCCTGTACCAACAGCTCAAATCACTCCAAGGTACCTCGCCCCGCCAATTAGCACAAACCTGGCAGAAGGAAAGGGTCGGCTGTGCCTGCAGTTGTTGCCTGGCGCGCGCGCAAACCTCGGCCGCACTTACATGCTCACACGGCCGCGTGAGTGGCTGGATGCAACGCTGGGCTTGACCAACGTCCCTTCATGAGTCCCATGCTTCTCGCCCTTATAACCAACATGCCCGCGTCTAACTCCGATCATGGACGCTGCAAATCTCTTCCCTGGCGCCTTCTCGCAGACACGATACGGCTTTCCAGTCCCATCATACCTAGTCATTCTGCTCGACGTAACATCTTTCAACGGACGTGATCTAGTCAGTCGCTTCAGAGCTAGACCACTCGTCTGTATCGGCGCTGGATTACGAGACAATCATGGACTTTGAAAAGAGACTGGATTCGCTACAGCGACTGGTAAAGCATGTTCTCGGGCTCTTTCAGCCAACATCTCGAAAATCTCAACCACCCACTCCGGACTTGATCACAAGCGCGATTATCGGTCAACTTGATAAACTTTCCAAGAGCTTCGTTCAGCTGAAGGAAGATTTCCATCTTTTGCAATCGTCCACCGGGGGAGGCCGGGAGGTTACGAGACAGGACTATGGAACAGCCACGAACGACGCATCGTTGGTTGCGGGCGACGTCAACTGCCAAAACGAGGCTGGATTGAGGAACGCCGATCCTGTGTTCAGCATAGTGGATATGGGTTTTGACCTAGTGAAGAATCTTGGCCGGTATGGCATCAACTTCGCCGGCAAGATTCACATCTCGGACCTCGAGTCTTTCGATCTGGCACGTATCTCAAAAAGACTTGCAGACCCAGACCCAGACACATCTGCCACGCTCTTTGTGCAGCACTTGTCCACCTCGCAAAATGGGGTCTCGGAGCTGAGGCTTTCCGTGCCAGATCTAGAAAAAAGGCCCTTCCACTTTCCAGATTTCTCGGATCCTCCGCGACCTCCGCAAAAATACGAGGAGTCGTTTGAGAACATCATTGCTTCACCCCCCAAGAAACCTATCGCCTACTACGTAGGCCCCCCCCTTGCTCTGGATTTTAATCCTCTGCTCAGCCCTGGGAAACTACTTGAACTTGGAGAAATTACAGGCGTGACTACACCTTACTGGCATGCTGGCGAGAAAGACTCAGGGACGGCTTTCCACTACGAGGATGGAGCTATACGCTCCTGTAATATCACAATCGCTGGCTTTAAACTCTGGATTCTTATTGATATATCTTCAAATGCAAAGTTTGAGGGCTTTATTGAAAGTCTCCATCCTTCTGCAGCTAAGGAGCCTCGCTGTGGCCAGTGGGTACGCCACTTGAGTCTCCTTATTTCCCCTCAGAAGCTTAAAGAGATGGATATCCAATTCGACCTTGTCCTTGCTGGTCCTGGAGACATGGTTATTACTACACCAGGCCAATATCACGCAGTGTTGAACTTAACGGCTTGCTTTGCTATCGCAATCAATTTTGCGCTTCCAGAGGATCCTACCCTATCACCAAGCCTTGTTTGTTCAGATTGTGGGCTTTACGAACTCCAGCACCCTGCCATTCAGCAGCTCGAGAGACAAGTGAGCCTTAAAGGAGCACGGCGGGGTCGTCCAGAGAGGAGACGGCACAAGGAATACCGCACTACCGCTCAGGCGGTGGCTCAGCCGGACGAATTGGAGCCGACCGACAGCGTTCTTGGGCAGGACAACCATCTTGAAGACACTGTGGATGATGCAGTCTCTACGAATCCGGGATCGGAGACCTCATCTGATGCAGCCGAGGATGATTCAACTATCAATGACGATGAGGCCGGGAACGAGGCCCAGAATGATGGTTCTGCCCTCGAGACACGGTCGCAACGGGACGGGGACCGGGAAGAAATCACGCTAGAAGAGCATGACTGCGAAGATATCCCACAACCAGGAAACTCCCCCAGCATCGCTACCTCATCTTTATCTCCACCGCCTTCTTCCGCCTCAAGCTCGCCTGCCTCAAGTCTGACACCAGATATCCCTTCCACACACACGTCGTCTATCGCTTCATTCAACAGATCCTTGCGTGAGCAGCACTCTCTCCAATCTGCACAAGCGCCGAGCCCTACTCGCTCTGGACTCAAAAGGGTAGCATCATATCAAGAATTATCCAAACGGTCAAGACAGCGTTTGTCACCAATAACAGACGGCCGTCTTTCAGAAGAAAACCCGCATAGCAGTGCCCCCAGTTTCAACAGGCTGGGCAGCCCTGATCTTATAAGTGGGGAACAACTGTCAATGATGGTGCGCAGTCGTCATGCCCTAAAGCAATTCTGCAACTTGGTCACCACGAAACGGAACCCGCAGCTTCACAAACTCTTCACGACAGCACAAGGGGGGGCAGCACAGCGCCTTGCTACTCTGACCAAGGTCAGAGACAGCTTCAAGACTCTGCAACATCTCAACGAGTATCTTTTAGCTGCTGACATTCAGAAGAAAAGGGGTGGTAAACGTCGAGTTAGTTCAGAGGTCAAAAAGGAGATACGAGCCACAGGACTAAGTGAAGCCCAATACGACAGCTATCTGCGACTAGGGATGAAGTGGCGAAGCATATGTGGACCATTCGACGGCATACTATGTTTCCTTCCGTCAGGTAAGGAAAGCCCGTGGCAAATTTCAGCAACAAAGTACCACTGTATAGATCCTCATCAACTTGAAACCTTTCATCGCCTCCTCAACAACAATTATACGACAGCTCTTTGTATGGCAGGAAAGGCTTTTCAGCAGTCTCTGGGTGGTAGTGATATTTACTTCACCTGGGAGACTACCAAGTTAAGCAAGCCTCTTTACGAACTCCCAGAGAACGAGATCCTGTTATACATTAAGCCAGTACCAGTACTGCTCGAGGACAGTTTTGATACAGCAGAATTCCCAGACTGGCCAGACCCATGGATAATACCACCCGCAGAAACGCAATGCTACTGCTTATCGCAATCTTGCAACTGCTATGATTCTAAGACATCAGAGGCAAGGCTTCGAATTATGGAGTCCCCGGAGAAGGGACTCTATCTACAGGCCATCTCAGAAGAGCCTAACGCGGTTGTCTACCAAACCACCGAGCTCCTTGGATTTCTCAGAGGGAAGCTGATACCCTCCGGAACCTTGGATGATGACTGGGTGTTTGATACCCAGAAGTGCCAGGTTGATTGTCGTGACGAGAGCAATAAGTTCAAGCTTCTGCACCACGCTTGCGAGGCGCATGCTGTTGCACAACTGGTGGAAAAGAGGGTATCGGGCCGGTTCAGACTTGCTGTTGTTGCCCGAAAGGACATTTACGACGGTGAAGAGGTAACAATCCTGTCCCAAGGGCGGCATAAACACGAACCATTGAACAGTGTGAGGATGGGCGTTGATCAGGATTTTGATCGTGTCAGCTCGTGAGTATTACATGAATAGAATATCTGCCAGGACAAGCACTGACAATGTTCTGCTGTGCTATCGTGACGTATGCACTAACTTTTGTATCCATGAATTTGAACACATCATGAATGTCATAATTTTAAGATAGTAGTTAAATCATATGTCCCCCCGAGCATCATGTAGGCCAGTGAGGGTTAGAAAAGGAGGTCAGCAAGGCAGATTGAGCAAGGGTGAGGACACCAAGGAAACCACCAAAGAAAGCCACCAGAGAAAGCCACCAAAGAAAGCCACCAAAGAAAGCCACCAAAGCAACCACCAAAGGATATCACGAAATGGGATCACGAAAGGGGCCCACAGAATGAGGCCGCCACACAAGGCCACACAAGCACCAATAAAAGGGCGAACACCGCAGGAGGCCAGAAAATGAAACCACTAACAAAAGGGAACCACAAAAGGGATTCACAAAAAGAGGACACGAAACAAAGCACACAAGTGTCAATAATGGAGAGGTCATCGCAGGCAGTCACCAAAGGAAGGCTCCTGTCTGCCACATGTGGGCTACAACAGCAAATCCAAAGAGAGGTCAAGTCACGCCAGGAGGCAACCATCGTGATTGGATTTAGGAAAGATGCTGACTTCATGACTCTAACAAGTGCTGCAGGGCAAGAATATCTGTAAAAGGATGGTTGAAATCAAATCTGCTACTGGACTTCACCACAAGTTCGGTAGTGTGAGCTAGAAATGTAACGGCTTGCACCAGCTCAGAAGGGTAGACGCATAATGTCTCATTTGCGAGCTCCATAAGGTTTCGATTCGTTACCGAAGAGTTTCCTCTTAGTCGCAGACTAGTTACTATAAGTGATAGAAAGGCTAGAATGGTACTCACATGATACTTTCGGCCGCATCTGTATGAGCGAATAGCAACAATGGTGAGTTTCCTCCCAGATGGAACCACCGTTTCGCTGTACGTGTTCGTTTATGGAGCTTACCGCGTGCGCAATCCTGCTGCTCTCCCCGGGCCATGATATATAGATCGAGTGCAACACTAGCATTCCTATAACCAACACTAGTTTGAATTCTGCCATGTCTCCGATCGGATGCTATAATACCCTCTAGTGTTGTCAAGAGGCGTATTAGACGGGCATGTCCCAGTCTGGCTAAACGGTGTTCGTTGCCCTCGATAACTCGATCCACTGCCTGAAATGCTCTCATAACAGCGGGATCCGTGCAGGCTATGTTCTTTGGCAACGTGGTATCACAATTTAATTGGGCCCAAAACTTATAGATGTCGAAGATATGGGTCGCAAAGTCCAGCTTCGCATCAGGCCTTACTATGGTTTGCACAGCTATTTTGGGTGTCCAACCTGTCATCTGGACTTCGGAGGAGTCTTGGGCATTCCTGGTGTCAATGTGCTCGTATGTAAGTTTTTCTGGTGAGAGCATAACTATATCGCCATCATGAGTATTGGAATCCATGGTCTCAGACTTATTATTGATCGTTAAAGATGAGTATTAGTTCTCATAGTGAGTATTGTATATTTATATGCATTTAGGGTTTAAATGTTATTAATAAAAGATAGTATAGACAATACTAAGGTATAGAATCTAGTATCAAGATATAAAGTTTAAATTTCAAATTTCAAATTTTAAATTTTGAATTCTGAACTTTGAATTTTAAATTTTAAATTTCAATTGACAGTCTATAACAAATATTGTTTGGGAAAAGTTTGAATGGTCAACCAGAGGTAAACTTCATGCCTGATTATACCAATGGCTAGATTGCAAAAAGCTAGACTTGCACGACTTATCACATTAAGTGCAGCTGGATGTATAGGATCCCTTTGAAATTATTGTAGATACTTACTAATTATTTCTTAGGTCAATTGGCTGCTGCAGTTCTTGGTTTCTTCAATCCAAAAGTATTTTTCGACTTTGCTACAAAGCGGCTTGATATAATTGTCCATCCTGTGCCTATACTGCAGACGGTTAATCTTTTGCTAAGCCTCGCCATTATTACTATAGAACTGCCAGTTGACCAGATTGTTGGCAAGGCTGTCAACATAGGCTTCAAAGCGCGATTTATCACTCTTCCGATTGCCACTTGCTTCGCAATGCTACAATACCAAGCAACAGATTCAGCTATGTATTATTTAATCGGACTGGCACTTTATGTGTCCTCCTATCGTCATGGGGAGGTATGTCTTACGTTTCTAGTTTTGAGTCTATATTCTAGCTAACCTGAATGCGAGTGTAATAATGGAGAGGAGTGCAATGATCAATACATTGTGTCAGTTGATTAGGTTGTATACAGACTGTAGGCTCATTGATAGACATGTAACTGTCTCTATTATGGTCAATTTTAATAGGTTATTTTTAATCAAGATCCAATGGCTCTATATCTCGCGCGACAATATTTTATTTAAAGAAAATCTCTGTAATGACAGTGCATCAGACTAAAAGTACACATGTAGTGAATCCAATTCCCTCCTAGTTTCCTTTCTCATTACTGCGACATCCCTGTGGTGTGCTAACGTTCATTGCCGGTGGCGTGACTGGACTATGTACCCTTGTGGGATTAGGATCGTGGGTATTGGTCTGTTGACTGGGTGTAGAAGATCTTTGACTCCAGTGAGTCTGGTATCTTGCTTGCTATCCAGACGTTAGTATTGAGTATAGATTTTACGAGAACATCATAGCTTGCTTACCTGGATCTGAGCTGCCATCATCTGGCAGATGGAACGAACCTCGCCCAGTGACCCGGAAATGCGTTCAACTTCTCCCAGGATTTTAGACACAATCAGAATCTTGTTTTGAATGGTATCTTCGTTTGTGAGACACCCGTATGGACAAGGTCGGACGTTTGAGAATGCAACGGACTGGGGATAAGGAATCTGAGGGTGTTGAAACGCTAGATGGGGGCGAGATGTCGGCCGAGAATGAGGTGACGACTGGAAGTGAGGTGAAGGCTGAAGATGGGGTGCCGGCTGAGGATGGGGTGCCGGCTGAGGATGGGTTGCTTGGTGAGGATGGGTTGCCGGCTGAGGATGGGGTGCCAGCGGAGGATGGGGTGCCGGATGAGGACGAGGTACCGGCTGGAGGACCAGAGGCGGCTGAGTGAGGGAAGTCTGAGGCGAAGAAGTTGGCTGACTGTTGCAAACAGGCTGAGGAGGGTAAGTCAGACGCGGCCGAACTGTGGGTTGACTGTGGGAAGACATCATGATGGGCAGAGATATTAGACTTGAATTCGAAGAGAAATGGTCTGGGACTCTTCTATATGAAGGGATCCGGAGAGGAAAAATGGGATTGATCATCTACAAATATATATAACTTCTGTCTAGGTATCAAGGCCCTCCAGCAACCATCGCTAAAAAGCATGCGCCACGTGACAACCAACATTCTGGACCAACAAATTCGCACCGAGATCATGTTTCTAAATCGAGAATCGTGAACAGAAGCTGCTCCTGGTTTGTATCACTGTAGCGCTGGTCACGACGGAAGCAGCCACGGAGGGCATCAGGGACATGGGATTATTCGTAGCCGCATTGGAGTTGAAAAAGGATGACCCTGAAGCCTTGTTGTTGGTCTCTGAAGGCGGTGAAGCACTCGCAGTTGGCTCGATTATCACAGTGTTGGTGCTACTAGACGACATACTTGACGGCACAGCAGAAGACGGCAATTGCGTGCTGGAATTTGCGATGCCACTATTGGACATCGTGGAGGTGGAGAACCAGGATATGGCTGTATCTTGCATGGGAAAAGCAGTACTTCTGACAGTGATTAAGGTTGTCGACGGTTGGACAAGGGTTGTAGATGATCCAGTCACAGTTACTAATGCGGTACTTGTTGTGACAACCTGAGAGGCACAGCCGACAGTCCCATTTACCTGCAAGGCTAGTGAAGGATCTCCAAGACCACCAGAGACAACCGCGCGGTTGCAGATTGGTGGCATCCCGGGACATTGCCTGGTTTCGAATTAGCGTCTAAGTCAGGGAAGAGCGGTCTCCAGTTTGGACTGGCCCACCAAGTGATCAAAGCATCTCCATTAGGTACGGCCTTTGGCACAGGAAAGCTAGCCACTTCGACGCCGCCGCAGGGGATTGTGTTGAACTTGTACACGATTGGTAGGAAGTCTAGGTCGGAGAATGCTACTGTGGCCTGGCATGGATGGTTGGATACATTCTCGAAACTGTAAGGAGTAAGCCAATCTGACACAGCTCTTAGTTCAGGGCCAACCTACTCCGCCGATACCGTGGAAACACCAGCTTCTAGGTCAAGTGGAGGCTGGGAAAGACAAATGAATGGGGGAGGCAACTGAGCGGCTGTCAAGAACGGAAATATAGATAAATTTGCGAGGAAAATCTTTGAATTCTTCATCTTGGCTGCAAAGCTTTCACGATGAGGCCACAGTAAAATGTTTCTCTGGCTTTGTCCTGATTGTATTTAAATAGAAAAGGAGGCTGTTGGTTTAAATTCGAGAAATAAATTTTGGAAAACGAGTACCGTCACCAAAAATTGAGGTGGGGGCTGGGACACGGAGAAGTTTAAATATAGAAACCATCTGGCTTACACTGGGCCCACAGGATTGACACCCGCCCAAGCAGCTGGTGCTCACCTGGTCTTCATGTATAAAGAACCTTGGAATTGCACAACACAGTCGGAAACAGTCCATCCTATCAAGCTTCGCAAGGACAAACACACCAAACTCCGACTCAATCATGAGTAACAATCAACTACCCCAAGACTGGGCTGCTTATTTTGGACTTCCAGACCAAATGATGGATTTTCCGATGTTTGATCAAATACCCGAGGAATATTCCACATCGGAACATGCACCTCAGCACTCTCACTTGTCTGATGATCCGTTGCAAACGATGTTCTCTGATTTAGTCAGTACTCCAAGGCAAGAATTAGAGCCCGAGACGGGAGAAACAGCACTGCGGCAGGAAAAGGACCAGAGCTTTTTACAGACAATGAATCAGCTGGGTACTGATGGACCAGCCAGGTACGTGGCTGTCGAGTCCGAAGTTTGATATGAATCATCACTAACCTCACGGTTTCAGGGATTCCTCTTTCCAGCTTGATGAAATTGCTGAGAAGCTTGCGAAACTCGATGAGAAAGTGAGCTATTTGGTTTTGGTAGGAGAAAAGTGTTTGAAGGCTCAGGAACACGAAAGCACAAAGGTGCAGAACAGTATCCGTGATGTTAAGAGCGCCATTGGTAGTCTCGTCAGTTCCATAGTGACTGACTTGCTGCCCAGCCCGGAGGATGAGGCTGGGGATGCGCAGCACGGGTAGGACCGGGTTTTAGGATCTGTAAAATGAGAGACTGATTTTAGAAAATAAACGATCTGGCAGAGTGACCGAGTTTGGGACTAGATCATGAGATAAATGCACCACGTTACCTCCCTACATGTTGCTTCAACACACTCATCTGTCAAATGCTGTTGTGCTTTTCAGGGTCCAGATTCCATGCGAACATCAGAACCCCCAAACTCTAAGCCCAATCGATTGATAGAATGCAGAAAGCAGATAAACCACTCCCCCCTCTGCCCCTCTCCGCAAGGAAGATCCTGGTAAAGAATGCCCAACCACCCCAGCCGGTACGGCTGTCGCCAAGCGTTTACAATCCTTCCCAGTCCAAGTCACGGAGGAGAGATGCGCGCTTGGACTCCACCAATCGGGATGACACTGAAGACCCCTTGCAGAAGCTAAGACGGGAGAATGAGGACCTCAGCAGAGAGCTAAAGCTCCTTGAAAGTACGAGCGCTGCAAAAGAGCACCTGATTGCGAAGCTTCAGGAGGACAACCGCAGACTGTGTCGCATGGCATCCCGCACTCGTCAGAGGGTCGCAGACATTGCTACTACCATTAGTGAGGCCTTTGAACAATATCAAGAATTCACAGAGGCACAATCCCGGATCATGGATACCTCCACTTCTGAACCGCACTGTGACGAAATACGGATATATGCAGAGGCAGACTTGGCAAACACTAGTCGGGACACAAACCTTGTTACCAATGTGAACATCGACACTGAGATCGATGGAGAGAACACAGATAGCTTGAGTGAATATAGCATTGAGTTTTAGGTCGCACTACAACCTGTTCGTCGATCCCATTAGGGTGACATCGCTTGGGGGGATTCGTATCCCTGCCCTCACTCTAACGGATGGGAGTGCCTACGCCGCAGGGCAATTTGACCAAACACTGTGTGCGTCACTGTCGCAACGCCATGCCAAATATAGCTAGATCAACAACAGGAGCCTTACAAGTAGAGCACCGTGCGCACTCTAGTTGGTCTGCTAAGTCGCTTAGCCTTGGCATTGGACTGCGCCGCACAGAAGCTAGCCTAATGAAGCAGCGATGAGCGGCTAGCTTGCGCGGGTGTTCCCGACAGAACGGTGCGCTAAGTTAGCCAAAACTTTAATTAGCCGCACAAGACGACATCCCATCTCATCACATTGAAATGTGACCAACAGCCAACACTGTCGTAATCATATGTGACCAACAGCCAACACTGTCGTAATCATATGAGTCAGGTGATCAGCCACTAAGATGAATTCGGACCTGATGGTTCGAATGAGCCAACACATATTCCTTAATCTCGGGGCACACTCCCAAAGAAGTGAGCAGCTCTAATGCCACACACTATTATCAATCCACTGTTAATACAGTTATCCTCGTCTCAGCACTCGACGGGGCAGCCTTCGAAGTCTGTTCTGCTCCCCATGGCTGGCCGAGCTGGGCCCTTCCAGGTCAGATTGTTTCGGCCAATTTTAGCCCGGATCTGACTTCCGGTGGCATGGACGGTAGGCGTCATCTGGGTTTGTAATTCCCTTTTCCCTCATTCTTTCGTTCCAGGATCCTCTCTTCTTCCATCTCATGGGCCTTCGCATCTACACTTAGTTCTATCTCCATCACCAAGATCATAAATCTTTCAGAAAAGCCCTTGGAAAGTTGAAGTGACCATGATTGGAAGCGAAAAGGTAGACGATGTTATGCAACCGGATTGCCGCCCTTTGAGTCATGGCTCCTTCGATCCAAGATGGAGGTTTCACGGGCATCCCGAGTTTCTTCGAATCCCCTGCAGAGATTGCATATGCTTTCACACCATCGCCCTCTCCGAGTCCCAGATGAAGATACAACCGGGTGTTTCCAAGGGGATGATTCCATCTGAAAGTAGTGTGAAGTCTCGGAACGAGTCGCTGCCGAATCTAAATCAGTCTTGCTCAGGTACGCCACGACACTGTCTACCCCTCAGTCTTGTCGATACGCTAATAAGCACTATATAATGTAGTGAGAAGCTATGTCATGTGGTAAAGTTTGGCCCAAGTCGTGGGTTCTACGAGGAAAAGACCAAGTTCTTCTCATGAGCAGGACGCAAGCAGATAGAAGACAAAATGATGTTCATGAGCTACATCGTACAGGATAAAGATCTAGCTTCTAAGAGCGACGTTACTTGAATTCATAGTGTGCATTTATCCAATTTCCCCGGTGCCTTGGCCTTTTGACGCGCCCTCAATTCCTCCATCTTGACTGGATCAAATCTTTGAGGTATGGGGTATGTTTCAGACTGTACGAGGGTGAGATACGACGTAGGTGAAGTTGGAAAGGCGTCACTTACTATTTGCCTCTCACTTGGGGGCCAGGAACCAACTTGCACGCTGGTTGACGAGTATGTGTAGTACCGGTTCTCCTTCCGGACAACAATGTACAAGTCAGAGTCACAGTCCCGACGGAGCTCATCAGCCTTCAAGAATAGAGTCCTGCGCCGCTTGCTGAAGCGATTCAGCTCCCGTTTCTTTTTGTTTTGTTTGGCCCGGCTTGATTGAAGTTATCCCCTGGTCTTGAGAACATGGCGGGTGGCTTGCGGCCAGCTGGCCAGCAGACTGGCCAAGGTATGGAAAGAACAGCTGAAAGCAGCTTCGGAAATCAGAACAGCCCTGGGAATTTGAGCGCTTGAGACTTACCGCGGGCAATGGGTTTCCATTTTTAGATGTTCGATTGTGATTGGTGGTTTTAGAAGACTTGGATGTGCCTCGCCCACAACGCTGAGACTGTTTTCAAGTCAAAGTTTTATGTAGCCCAGTTGTACTATATTTGGCATTTTGGAATATGGAATCCTGTTTTTAACAGTCTATTTTAAACTCAGCCCCAGCCAGGTTGATCTAAGACAAGGTATGAACCCGTTCGCCGTGAGCCCCATTGTGTTTCCAACAACCGGGCATCATCGGGAAACATGGATCGCCGCCTGCCACAAGAGATTCTGACATGTCGCCACAGGATTGGATTCCGTCAAGGACCTTCACTCCTTTCGGCTTACAAGCAGAGCCTGCGCCGCCGCCTGTTTTGCGATTCTTTCTCGGCACCTAACGGTGATGAACACGGCAGAATCCCTCAACGAAATATGCAGAGTTCTTGAGCGAGGAGACTGGAGGTCTACCAAGACTCTCACCATTCGCAACGCTGAGTGGCCAATCTGTTCAAGAGCAGAATGGGCAACACACCCGTTACTTCATGGGGGGAAAGAACAATGGCTGGATGTCTTTTCTTCGGCTGCCTGCGACAGAGCATTTTTGAAGTACGCGAGTTTCGTATCTGCAGAAGTGCAGCGTACTTTTTGTTCAGACTTCCTATGCTTTTCCTCTATCATAAGCCACCTTCCCCAGCTGTCAGCCGTTCGCATCACCCCCATTCATAGCCTAGCATGGCAGCCGTCAAGCAGCCCTCGTTATCTGGCTTTGGTCAACCGAATTTGGTTACGGCCTTCTTTCAAGAGAGGAACCAGATTTGCAACAAAACGGCTTCTACCTGCACTCAATCAATTCCCTCGCATCATCTCACTCGACATAGAAGGGAACTTTGAGGCCTTCGCCCCGGCCTACAACGTTGATCACATTCGGCAACTAAAGATCCAATCTGTAGAGGTTGACCCGCTGCGCAAATACGACCTAACAGATTTCCTCTCTGCTTTCAAAAATCTCGAGAGCCTCACGATTCGAATCGATGACACGTCACCCTTCACCTCAGTGCCGCTCGATTGCCTTCACCTACCACATCTCAAGTCTTTTCACATCGATAACATGACAGTTTCGGAGACTTCGCTCTTCTCTTTCCTCCGGAAGCACTTGCAGGGAATGGACTTCACTTTTATGAACATGAATATCTGGGATGGTGACTGGGAGTCAGTGGTTGGGAAGCTGGGTCAGCTTGAGTGCGCGTTTGATCTTGAATGGTTATTGGAGTGCTCTTGAACGGATACCTTCGCACTGATGTTATTTTTGATCATCTTGTTTCAATCTTCTATACATGGTTCTCTGCTAAATATAACATGCTATTTAAAACTCATATTTACATACTATATTAGACCATTTGCGAGAAGAGGCAGACACTGTCCAACTATCTGAGCAATCTCGATCCGAATTCTATATCAATTCTTTCTAAAATGGCTCAAGATATTCCTATTTGCACGCAATGGAATCTCTCTAATCATGATTGTGAGTTACTTGTCTTCGAAATTTGTGATGAGTGGCTAGAGTCCCCTCATACTTCTAAATTATCTCCCGACGAAGATGCACTGATTGAACCGCTCCGAAATTCAAGCGAATCTGAAGTCATGCAGAAAACATTCAAAATGCTGGAAAAGACCCATATTTCCCATTTAGAAGAAATCAGAAAACAAATTCATTATATGCTACTTGCTTGGGAATGGGCTATTCGAGCAAAGAAACGCTACGACAGTTCGATAAAGCCCTTCTTGGAAGAGGAACTTGTCGAGTGTATTGGCCCTAAGCATTTCCTCGCATGTGTTCAAATTATCTCAAAGCGTGCTAGAATCACCAGCGAGGATGAGGCACCACCAGCACGGGATGAGGCGCCACCAGTGCCCCGTCAAAATAACGTCTCTGATTCAAAAGATGGAGATAAGGAACTATTAGAGAGATGGAAAAAATATCGCGAGAATAACCTCTATGATCCGGAAGATGAGAAGAAAGAACCACTGGAGAGATGGAAATACTTCAACAAACAATTAGTCAATTCAGTCGCGGGCAGCTCGAAAGAGGACATCCGTAATCGGCGGCGTAAGATGAAAGAGAAGCACGTCCTTTACGAAAACAATTCAGATGCCTCAGAGCGTACCAATCAGCATAAGAGGATCAAAAAGGATGGTTCTGGAACCAGAAAGAAAAAGGTTAATGAGGATCATTGTCAAGGTGATCCCATAAAGAAGAAGAGAAAGCGATGAGGATCATTCTGTGAGCAATTCTCACCAAAGGAATGAAGTTATTATTAGGTAGAAATAAGAAAGAAGCTTGATCAGATAGAAACATGATAGCTAACATCAATTCAGTATAATGTTCAGTAAGATGGGTTTTTTGAATAGAAGTTCTCTCGAGCTAAGCTGATTACATCTGAGTAACACTATTTAGCTACTGGCTGTCGCTATAGGTTGCCTGCTTAGCTGATATCGATGTTTAGTCTCAGGAATAGCCAACAACGATGAATAGACTGAGTAGCCTCCTGTTCTTCATGGCCTCGAGCAAATGCTCAAAGGCAGAACTTGACATATTGTCTTCTATCCAAGGAAGGTAATGGCAAGATCTCACAGCAGCAGGGTTTAAATCCTTGAGAATATGGGCGCTTAGGCTATACGCGACACAAACCACCAACCCTATGCTAAAAATAAATAGTTATTTTTGACCTTTGGTACATACTGCTCCAATTTCTCTTTTATACGCCAGTTTAATGATGCTCATCTTGGGCCTGAGTCTCAGAAAGTTCACCATGCACAACCTTTCTAAAACAGCATTCTCAAGCACTTCACCATGCAAAGTCCTTCTGTTTGGATTGAGCTTCGCTCAGGCGCACCAGGCCTAGACGGGCCGTTTCTCCAGGAATTCCGTTCTGCGTATCAGCTTTTTCGTACCAGCACCTGGCGGACACCACGCGTAATTACGGTGATTGGGGGAAAGGTGAAAAGACAGCATTTTGATAACTGTTATTTGAAACCTCCAGTCGAAGAAGAACTTGGAAAGATCTGTCTAAGGCAACACAGAACTCACAAGACTTTGATCATTGACTGTGAAATGCATATAAACAGCAAGATCAGTCGACTAATGGGTGGGCCATGTCCCGGCCACTACCATATCCACCGAATCGAGAACGCTCCACCAACTATATCCGCTATCTCTGATCGGATCTACCTTGAGGTAATAGCACCTTTGAGTCATGCAGTACTGCTCTTCACAGACGACTTTGGCGGCTTCGAACATACCATAGAGTTCTTGATATCATGGGTATATAGGGCAATGGCTATGCCAGGAACACCAAGGCTCCATGTTCACCTTATACTTGGCAACAAAAATCATGGAGTGACCAACACCTTGGTCTGGTTCGAAATCTCTACCGGTCTCCTCTCTCAAATAAATGCTCGCGACCCAACAAAAGCATACAGCCTTCGAAGTATTCTGGAAATAGGCCATAGACATTTACAGTGTGACTTGCAATACCGTTTCACCGAGGAAACTTTCTCGAGCATGGCTCATGGTCTAGCGCAAACAGATGCTCGGGAGGCATACCAGTCACCCTATATTTACCACAAAGCCCTCACTCATTTTGCAAGGTCCTCACCAGAGCCTTTCAATATTGCCATCGCCTACGCAGACAAGACTCCCTTGCCTGAAATGTGGGAGGGTCACATTACGGATCTCATTCAGTCCTGCAAGGATCACCAGGTTTCACCTACACCTCTTCTGTCCTCAATCTTCGCTTTCCATGCGTTCCCTAACGGAACACAATGTGAGTGATATCCAGTCGTAGAGATATCTCTATGTTAATAACGTTCAGACATTTCCCCCGCCGATCTCTTCGTCTCTTTATTCGAAGTTCAGCTAAAGAAAATACTACTTGAGGTAAAATCTTCCAAGCTGGAACAGGATATTCGGCTCAGTTTCGAAAATACAGTGCGTGACGCTTTCAGAGCACGCAAGTCGATACATCAGGTACACCTGGTGAGGCTCGCAAGCATGAGATCATCGCTACCTTCTCTTAGCAATACTTGCTCCTGCTGCTTCCTCCGCAACCCCTCCTGCACTCTTAGCTGTACCGACCGGCTTTGCTATTCCTGTGTATCAACGTGTGGTATACTCGTAGAACCGGGGCTATACCGTGTCAACCGGTGTCCTTCTTGTAACTCTCTTATAGTCGATGAACGTCCTTTGGCGATCATCTCACCAACAGCAGGCTCGAGAGTCCTCCACCTCAGGGGATCAAATTCCGATGGTCTTTTTCGGTTTCTGAAAGACATGGAGCAAAGCATGAGCCTACCCCATCTATCTCTACGCACATATTTCGATATAGTCACAGCTTCTGGCCGTGGTGAGTCTCGCCCCATTTCGAACAGAAACATTATTGATTATTTCAGGTATGTTTTTTGCTATCGCTATCTTCCTTGAGGGCTGGAGGCTGGAAGACTGTAAGTATCACTTGCCACGATTGAGGGATCCAAAATATGTAGGAAAAGGACTACTCAGTTTTGGACGCAACCTGGACTGGAGTCTACAAGACATCCGAAATCGGAGCAATTCGTCTATTGTATTGGAAACAGAACACTTAACGCGACAACCTTGGACACTTCAGCTGGGCCATAAGATACCAAGAAGGGATCTAGCAACCAAGGATTTCAAAGACGCAAGTCGATATGGTGAAGCCGATCTTGAGGTCGAATACGAGGGAGGCTCATACAGTAGCAGCTATCTCCGCACTGTGAGCAGCTATCTCACAGCTTCTCTCTTCTACTTGGAGCTTCTATACAGCCCCAGATTTTACCAGTCCCCCGAGACTTGCTATGCTATCGTCCGCTGTCGCATACCATCGGGAGATGGTCTGTTGGCTCTTTTGAGGAAGTTGAAAAATGATAAAGCATGCTTGCTCTTCCGGGGGGATGAGCCCGTTTGAAACCATGCGCGCATGCCGAGAAGGGAAACCATTTGGAAAGTATATCCTAATGAGGGTCAACTCTCCCAATTCGGAGCTCGACGTTCAGATTGCATTTCCGAGGGGGACGAAAAGAACTATCAGCAAGCTACCGTGTGTTCTAGGCACTCTTGTAAAGGAACAAGGGCTGAGCTTGTACACAATCACTAAGAACACATGCAAGTACATGCAACCAGAGAACAGCCGACCCAGAGAGGTGCAGCTTCGAACAGAGTTCAACAGACTCCAGAATACTCTACATCAATGCATATATACGTGTAGATGATTTTCAAATGTAAATATAAAATTTCACATAACATATTGGGCCTGATGGCGCTGATTACAATTCTTTTCCCCAGATCTTATGAGAAGTTTCAATTTGCAAAGATGTGGCTAACTCCAAAGCGCAACACATAAGTCTTGAAAAAGCAACTCAGGGGGTATGCAGACTATTTAAATTCTTCCCTTGTCTCTCAATTAAACCGAACTCTCTTTCCTGGTGGCATATCCCCTTCATCAAATGAAGCCTTTCTCTTGCTAAAAGATCTGTCTTCCTCCAGCAAGCTTTGACTCTCGATATAGTCACTGTCTTCATCGTCGTCCAAATCTCCCTCCGAACATGAATCAAGGTCTGGATAATCCGGTGAGAGTTGCTTTGTATTGCCAGAGCTCGAACCAGAAACATGATTTTCTACTATATTATCTTCTGAGTGAGGCTGAATTCTCCTTCCGGCCCAATCCACCTCACAGTCCCTCACCCAGCTGAAAAGTGGCCGCGACGTGTGCTTAAGTTGATAGGCGAGATTATCAGGTCCGAACTGCAGGGCGATATTATGCTGCACCTTGCCAATGAGATATAGATCAGTACACACATCAAGCCAGGGAAGCGCGCCGGTTTCGAAAATTGATTTTGTCCGAAAGGTAATGCGGAAGTGGGTGTAGTCAAGAGCCTCCACTGGTTTCGGCGCACCATCTTCGTCCTTGCGAAACCACCTGTCGATACCACCATCTTCATTGGTGTAGGAAACATATTCTACGTCAGGCGTGCCGGGTATAACAAAACATTGAAGACAGACTTCCATCTCCTGGACTCCATTTCCATTGGAGTCGTGGACTTCGCAGATGATTGGCGCCATGATGTCGTTTTTAGAATTTGAAGCTTAGATAAATGAAGCAAGTAGAATGTATTGAGAACAGGCTGTAAAGTTTTGATGTCTTAGAGTAGTGATGATCAGGCATTGGAACTAATTACCTAGGTAACCTTAAATAAATAGCTCCGATTGTCAAAGTTTAAATTTAAAAGAACGGAGTCCCGCTTAAAATTTGTATCTGAGAGTTGCCTATATACTAAAATTAAACTTATACTATGCAGATACAGACAAACTTTTCGCCGTCAAGCTTCGTCCAAAAGCATATATGCAACACGAATGACGCTGGGAGATAGTGGAGCCTCAGTGAATGCCGAGGAGTTTGAGCTTCAACGGCGGATGTTAATCTCGAAGTCCTTATCGGAGAGGAACTGGATGAAGAGATCCTCTGGGCCGAGCTGAGAACTGTTTCACTGTTTCTATTGAATTTGTGCTGTGCTCATTCCGAAATGCGTTTAGCAGCATTCCTGATTTGACCTGTAGGGATATAGAGGGTAGTATATTTTAGGGTTCCCACCGTTCTACAGTTATGAGCATAGCACGAGTCAATAACTTACTCTTCCGCATTTGGTGAGGACTTGGGGTCACATCGATCTACTTCGCAAGGTTTCAGTCTTCCAGGAACATCTGCAACGAGAGCCTGATGACAGACAGAAGTACCGATGACAATCAACTTTTGCAGGTACTCCACGATCTGAGCAAGAACAGCAGCCCTGACCAATCATCTTTGTTCCGCAGGTACAGTGCGAATAAGTTCGAGGGTACCTTCAATAAGGCACAGGTTGACAATTCCGGGGCAGTGCTGATGATCGATAAGGATGCAAAACCATAGGCCACTCAATCATGACAAATAGCGTGTACAGTGTGTTATGAAACATAATCCGCACTGAGTGTTTTCCGTCAGAACTTCGAAGAATGTTGCAAAAGAGGAAGCTATTTATGCTCTTAACTGTACTTAGGAAAATGTAATAGGTTCCTAAGCCTAGAGCATACTTGTCGGTAGCAGACACACACCTGCAGTTGACGTCGCTTCCCAATTCCTGGACAGGCCATTTCCCGCGACCAGTCAAATTTGTCACATCGTGCCTCGAATACAAAGGTAAGAAGGTCCGCACAGCAATCGTGTGAACAAAACCAAGAGAGCACGACTGAGGAATCTATCCTCTACTTGATTACATTATTCATTCCTCGACAAGATGCCCACTCCTCCAGCAGGAATTCGTCCCGCACTCGGCTTTGAGGTCGAATATCCACTAACGTTGGTTTCCTAAGTTCTCGAGCTGGGCCGCATGAAACTATTTTGCAAATCGTAGAATCTGCACGATGAAATGAGGGCCAATCCGACTAACGGGATCAGCTCGTTGATCTGGAGAGGGCTTTTCAGAAACGGGTGCTAGACAGGCGTCAACATCCGCGGAAAGAGACTAGGGGATAGTGACCCACCTCCGCCAGCGTCTGGACCGACACGCTAAGGGTGAGACTCAGAAAATCGACCGCCTCCGCCGACCACTTTTTAGGGTCTTTCAGCCGGAGCGAGCTCTTTTTTGATTCGTCACCTCCCGCGGCGATCTCGGTCTCATCGCCCATCAGCCAACACATGACCCTTCCCAATGCTCGCGCATCAGCTTTCCGGGTCTCTCCGATAGCAGAAGAGCATCCCTCGCAACCAGCTCCAAGCGTGCGTTAGCAACCATTCGCGATTCGTGAGACTTTGGTGCAGCGCTTACCAATTTTGACAATCCCTTTAGTGGTCAGAAGGACATTCGCATGGCTGATCGATCCATGTGACAAGCCCTGAGATGCAAGGTAGCATACGCCGCGCAGGACCTGGCCTACGATAGCAGCGAGCTGGATCTCGTCTGGGCGGACCAGTACGAGATCTCCCAGGGAAATGGCCGCAGCCTCGGTGATAGCGCAGCTTGAGTCCTCGTATGTGAATATCTCCTCGGGCAGGAGGAGATTGTCGTGGTTTAGGCTCCGGAGCACGTCGACCTTTTGCGCCCGACTGGGGCCGGAGATACTGTGCATTGAGAATAGTCTGTCTGTAGCGGGGATCTTGCAGACAACGGCGACGTAACCGCCCATTTCAAGCCCATAGGCTGTTTTGTAATGCTTCCATGGCGACCCATCGATGACAGGTGGTGGATGGTGATCACCAGAATGTGCAATATTGACCGGCAGGTCCATGCGAGGAATGGCTAATCGGTTCCTTCGTTTGGTGACGGATAAAGGAGTTACAGGGGGTTGAACGTCTGTCTCTAGAGCAGGCTCCGAGCCTCTGGCAGCGGCCCATTGGCTGCTACCAGGAAATACGGTCTCCCGCTTCAACATGATGGGCATGATTTCTGCATGTAGAACGAAAGAAGTGCTGCTGAGGGATGCGCACATCTAAAGACCTAAGCCAGAGTCTAAATTACGTCCCCGGCGGTCCATGATCAGGCCCAGAAGATGGACGCCTAGTTCTAGGGCCGTTGGTCCCTAATTCATACCCCCTCCCATCTATTCGGAACTCCTGCGAGGATAAGGCGGTTTGAGACAGGGACCTGGATACGCTAATTTGACTGCAGACAATAACGTAACACATGACGGGCAGTCTCGCGGAAGACGCACCACTCATTGATCCAGAAGCACAGAAATGGGCTCTGTGTGCAATGGGTGGTTTTTGTCTCCCGCATAAACTATTCACGCAATTAAAGAACTCGGCCACTTATTAAGGTGTACACTTTGAGACAAAATTTCCTTCATTATTCCGTTCAAGGGGCGGACAAAGATGGAGGCCTGTTCAACTGTTTACCAATACAATATGCGCAAAGTCGTTCAAGCACATGGGTCTCATTACCTGTCGGGCGTCAATTCCCTCCCGCTCTCTGATCCCAGCTGAAGGTGCGCAATTGGCACAGCGTCGTGAGAACTGTGTGGACCAAATGGCAAAAGGCCGCAATGCGACCATTTCTGCTAGCAGCAGCAGCAGCAGTCGGGGGCCTAAGTTGATGATACAGTTTTACTCAGCGGCAGCTATAAACGCGGGTATCACCTGTGTGGCTGAATTCTTGCCGAGACATCTTGGACCCCTCTTGTCAATGTGAACGAACGTCCTCACCTCTAAAAGTTACTCTGGTCACCCTTACGTGTTGAACCACGTCGGTAGTTTGGGGTTACTGAACGCCGACATGCAAGAAGCCTCAGCAATCTGTCCAAAACAACCTCGCTCAGGCCGCATCGATCGGTTGCAGTGTCTGGGCTCTATACATGTTGCCAGTAGTGGAACAACCAATCGATAGACACACGGCCGACCCTGACCGAACACTACCCTGGTTTCGGAGAACAAATCCACGGAAACCCCAGTCGAGGACAGATCTATAGTCACTCACACTTCTTGGAAACAACATCTTCGATCTCCTGGCGGATGACCTGCCTCGCTGGAGTTTCTGCGGGAGGACTTGCTAAATTGCGATCAAGTGCCAAGTAACCTACCACGCGTCGGTGCCTTACGTGAGATGGGGAGAAGGAGGAGAGGGAGGTGGAGGAGATTATCGGCTCAGGGCCGATGCGATGTGGTCGCGAATGCATGCCGGTATATCAATTCGCTGGCCGGGTGACAGCGCTACAGCCTAAATTTGAGCTCTAAATAGTGAGGGTGGGTGCGGCTGGGGAGGAAAGGATGGAAGAAGCGGTGGGGGGGAGGGGGGACAAGACCGGCCTCGTTGCACTGACTTTTTTTTCGGGCGGCAATACGCATCAGTACAGGGGAGGCCTGTGTTGATAAATTGTGGTGCACTTTCGAAGAACCCGCCTTCACAAAATCACAACTCCTCGCCCTCGCGCGCCTTGTTGTTCCTCTCTCAGTGGCCTTTCACCTCTCCCTCATTTCCTGCCCGAGTGCCTCTACTTGCCACTATGCCCACAGCGGATTATATTTTACACCCTGTCTATAAACGAGTACGGCCTCTTGGGGCTCTGGGCTCAGGGGATAGTTATGTACAATCCCTGGGACGACAAGGATTTCCGTGAATTTATTCTCGGAACCCAAAGTGTGATCCTGCCAAGGCGTGAGTCCCTTTCAAAGGGGCTGCACAAGGACTAGGAGATCCAATCGTTGTACCAGATCACCAAGCCACTGTTTCGCAATAGGGGATGTCATTGCGGCACAGATCGTGTTGCCAAATTGGTGACACAAGAATGTCATTATTTCCAAGCCACGCATGCATTCCAACCTGGGTAATTTCGGCCAGGCGTGATCTTCCAGACCAGTTAATCGCCCAGCCAGCTGTGCTTGGTGACAAATTAGGAGGATACACCCCTCTGCAGTGTTCCCTGTCCGGCCTGTCCTGATTTCCTCCTGGGACTCGCACGATGCAGTCACCCCTTGATTAGATGCTGAACACCACCTTCATGCGAGAAGCATGCGAGGCATCACCGTGGTATTCGTGCGAACAGCATGTGCATGTACTATGCATCGTCGAAGCAAATTTAAGGGATGCCGAGCAGTCTGACCCCTTCGAATTCTGAGCGCAATTGTATTTTGTCGCTTCCCAGACTCAAACCCCGTGATTACCCACAGCAGCGGTCCCTTTCCATCACTTGACGCGATAGAACCCATCAGCCATGGCTAGCTCATTATCATTGTGTGCCAAGGGCAAAATAAGGCGGTTACTGGGAGCCGTTCAAGAAATATTGAATTGCAGGCATGAACAGGATCTCCAAGTCCGTCGTCTTCTCGAGTGTCTCCAAAAGGAACTCGGCATATCCGAAGGCGAGCCAGAAGCCGTGGAGGAGGTAGAAAACCCCAACCTATGCGAGGAAATTGACACTTATAATGCCGCATGCGGGTTTAGTCCAACAAATTGGTGCAATTCGACCCTCTCAGGTACCCACACGATTCAAGAGTAGCTTCAACAAGTTTAGATCAGTGCAATCGTGAGAATGATACAATTGATGTGGAAGAGTTGGGGGATTGTCCTAAATGTCAGCGCCTCGCAGGTAAGTATTTACAGTTTTCTTTAACGAATTCACATTAATTTCCTCTAGATGACTGCGATTGTTATTTTAGCGAAGATGAGATAATGGATGATGTCGAAGAGCAGGAGGGGGAGCGTGCTGCATGTGGGCATCTGTTCTCTGGTAAGCATTCGCAGGTTTTCCAACGAAGTTGTATTGATGGTCTCTAGCTCGGTGTGTTTGTAATCACAATGACGATGACGAGATAATCGTAAGGGACGGCGTCAACGATTTGCTCTCAGAACCAGCCAAGACTACGACCTCATCGCCCGCGCCATCCATGTCACAGATCAACAACTTGACATGCTGCCACTGCGAACTCACCTGCCTCAATACAAAAAGTTTTGAACAACATATCAAGACACACACTAGATCCTTCCGGTGCCCCACCGAGGGGTGCCACTTTAGTGCTTTGCAACGGAGGAGTCTCCAATGGCACATGCAAAGCAAATCCAGGGTAGATGAGAGGCATTTAATCGTGGCCCAGGGACAGGGCATTAATTTGAGACCGCTTTCCTGCGCAAAGTCTCACTGCACATTTAAGACGTTCTACGAGCACAGCCTGAACAGGCATCAAGGAAATTCAGGGTGTCCTCTATTGGCTCGGGAAGACGATCAATAACTCCGTAGACATCCGGCGTCGTTGGTGCTCCTCCGGAACCGTCTGGTTCCATATAGACCTAACGAAGTTGATTCGCCCCAAGCCTTGCAAAAGGGCACCACATCGAAGGCGCCAGCACAGTCAGAATGGTACAGTCTGCTTATACTTACGATTCTAATGTATTGTGATTGCATCCATTGCGCCATATCCGTATCCATTGCATGCCGCTTGCAACATCGCCACATCTGCAGAATAGAAGAGGATATGGCTGGTGCCCCTCTTCTCTGAGTGCCCATAAAGGTCTTTCACGACTTCAAGGATCGTTCCCGCTCGAATCCTCAAGCTCAAGAGCGAGGATTGTGGCCAGCGCATGAGTGGGCAGCGCAGGACCCAGCAAAGCAGGCCGCCAATGAACGCTCACAGACTAGGGTGATCTCAATACCTGGCCGCATCACTGTCCGCCCTCATCCAGTGCCATCCACGTGCCATCCTCTGGATTGACTTGTCCGCCCTGCCATTTCTGGAATAATGTGGAGTGCTACTCAAAATGTGATCTATGAGGGTTCCCAAACATCATTTCAACGCCGCAGCGGTCCGCTTCGTTCCACTCCGCGTACCTTCTTCGGTGCAGCCGATATGCAAATCCTTCGTGATTTTAGCTAGGTCCCTAGCCACAATTCGTTCGTCATGACTTAACAACATCATGCCAATCAATTTTCTAAGTTGGGCCTCCACAACACCCGTGGATTCGGTTGCTCCTAGTAACTCGCGTTGCCTGTCGACTTCCTTAAGCCATTCCTTCATGGCTTCAAGCTCGCGGCTTCCTTGTCTGCCTACCAGAGAAATGAACCACTCACCATGCCTCCCATGATAACATGAAAATTGGTCTGGAATAACAAAGCATCGCATAACGTAAAGCATCAGAACCCCCAAAGCAAAAACATCTGCTGGCAGTCCCCGCTGCTGTCCCATAAATTCAGGAGCGATGTACCACGGGGTGCCGCCACAACAAACCTCGCCGACTGGCCCGGCGAGACCGAAATCAATTAACACGGCTCCGTTCCCAGAAGCTGAGAAGGCCCCCGAGGCGCTTCCCAGGGCGCCGGGGTATAGAGGATATTACCCGGTTTAATGTCATTATGCACAATGCCTTGCCCGTCCAGGTATGCGAGAGCGCTGGACATATCCTTCAGTATACGAACAGCATCGGTCATCTCGCCACGGAAAAACCCCGCTTCATGCTCGTCCTCCCTTCGATCCTTGACTCAGATGAAAAGCTAGGCAAAATGTGGAAGGCTCGGGCTGAGGTGAAAATAGCCTGGTCATTTTTGCAGCCACATCATTCAGACCAAGCTCTCAACCAAGAGGTCACACACAACCCGGCATCTCGCCCACGTTCAGCGTCTCGAGTACTTCTTGAGATTTGGTGGGCAATTAGAGAGTGTGTCTGGCGTAGCCAGGCCAGTGGCCTACTTAGGGCGAATCTAGAGAGCCGGCTCGAAATACAAGATCGAAGTGACGTCGCGCTCGGACCATTCCGAAGGGATGAGACCTCATGGAAAGGATGTGATGGTTTGATGGGAGTAGATCAGGTTGCAGCAATCAAGTGATATTTAATGAAAATTATTAACGCAACTTAAACTGCAAGTGCCAGGGGCTCCTGAGATTCCCACGTTCCCTTGACCAAACTAGCCGGAGCTTTGAAAGTAAATCACAGCTTCTTCTGTGTTAAGACGATGACGAAGCTTGGCTCAGGCGTACAGCCCGATCTTGCCTCTGGAGGCTAGCTGATGTGCCCGCGCCAACGCACTCAAACACCCTCGACCAATATTTCGAGGGCTGTGGCTTCCAAACCAACCTGGTGACTTCACATCACAGCATGTGCCTCTTGTCTGACGATTTAAAGACAATGGTACCGTTAAATTCCAAATTGATCGGTAAAGGCGCATTCAAGCAATCCACTCGTTCTTGACTGGAGATAAAGGACACCCTAAGAAGATTCCCAATGGAATGATGACCCATTAAGGAAAAGCTTTTCATTCACCAGTCATACTACCTGATAGGAGTTGAATCCTTTTGTTTACGCCGCTGTTGAGAGCACGGCCATCCTGGCCGCAGACCAATCATCTAAAATCAAACCGCCTTCAGAGTTTTGCACATTGAAGTGCTTTTGTAAAGCGCACAAGAGAACTAGCAGTATACTCGAGTCAGCTCTTTGCAGCACAATTCTCTCGGACAGAAAATACTTACATCCGAGAAACCAATGCGATGCCGGTTCTTGTTCCTCGGCATCCGTGGGAACGGAAAGAAAGATACGGTGTGCCAGGTCTCTTGCCCCCGGACCTGGCGCGAACGCGGGGTCCCCCAAGGTGCTTTTCCCCTGTAGTTCTTCGAGACCCGCAGATTAGAGGTCTACGCCCTTCTTGATGAGGCCTATATCTTCGTCAGAGTGCGAATTGTCTAGTTATGGGCATTAGCTCATCGTTGTTCTATCGTTATGCTGATCAAGAGGCATCACCGTCAAGAAGTAGAAGCTGGCGTGTCTCAATGCCCCCGGCAGTCGAAGCCACCTCAGCATCTTGGATGGACCCAATGGACTTGGACATTGCCGAGACCTGAAACAGAAAAATAGCTCTGATGATGGCGGCGACGAGCATTTTGAGACAGAAGCGAGGACTCAATGTGGACAGCACAGGAGAGGGCATTCATGCCAGTTTAGACGATCACTTGTTTTATAGCGTTCCGACCCCCGGGACAAGGGACATCATATCTGACTTGGGAGCAGGGCTCGTCTGAAAGTCCCGCTACCACGAATGTCCAGACATGATAAAGCGAAGGTCGGAGGCTGAAGAAGCCCATAAGTACAAATGTGATTGGGCCAGCACCCAAAGGCCGTCCTGGGTCTCGACCGTGCACCTAAATCACTTGTTATACAGTACCATACAAAGCCCATGATTGTCCATCCTTCCGAATCAAGTCTGGTTTCTGGATACCTTGTAGCCAATTGCCACCAATTTCCTCCACTGGCTTTTGCCCTCTGCCTAGAAAAAAATGATCTAACCCCACTCGGGCTTGCGGGTAAGTTATGATATGGTTGGCCAGAGCAAGGCTGTAATTCAATTGGATGGTCCTGCCTGAGAAACGCCTCTGCCTTTTCGAGATTAATTAAAGGCAACCGTCGCAAGTACTTCGTGGGTGACATTTAGTGACTGCATTCTGTTGCCCATAATTCCGTCCAATCGCGGATTGAACTGGATTGAGCAATCGCTATGACAAGGGGGTGCTATCCGACGATGAGCGTGGAGACTAACAGCCTTAATTCGTCGACGGCTCAAAAGGAGGTCAATCAGCGGCGTGATCTCGCGTGATTGGCCAGCGTGACGCTTACAGAAGCCAAGCGTCCAAACGAGCCCCCTGCTCTGTTGGCCGGGCCCAGGACCTAAGCCTAGGATTTATTCTAGAGGTCAATGACTTTTCAGTACTGTACAGTACTTCGACAGGGAGTATATCCAATAATTTTAATGTTTGGCGATCACAACCTCACGCCTTTCGACTGATCCCGCATGACAGGACGTTCAAGTCAAAATTCAGTTGTGAATTCAAGAGCTCAAATTTGATTTTAGGGAATCATTGTTCAGCCAGTGAGATTTTGAGCTATAGAGCCACACACGAACGGGACTTATCGTGTTATATTTCGCCAGACTCCACCACTGGTAGCTAGCTCGTCATCCTGCCTCAGCACATGTCGAATAGATTTGTCATTTCGTTTGCTCCAGCAATAAAGGCTTGCAGGCTTCGACGGCGGCGTCGACAAGGGATGCAATGTGAAACAAGCAAAGAGGAATGGTCTTGCTGGCGAAGATAATCACCTCGCTCTATATTGATTGTACTGTATACGAATCTAAATTAGTCGCCGAATGAAAGGGCCACACGAAGACTGCCTACCAATTGATTTCCGAAGTCCGACCAATGGATCTCATCCTCAGGTGCCACCGATCCCATCAAAACCATAGGTTGAGGATAGAATCTCCCAAGCCTCCAACTCCACCGAAACTAGTACGTGTCAGGTATCATGTTGCGAGTATCGTGTTTGGCAAGTTTTTTAATAAGTCCTGCGAGCGGCCTTCACCATCTCGCCCGTTGTCAGTTTGCATCATAGTTATCACCATAACCCATTTCAACTACACCGTAAACGAGTCTGGCCAGAGAGCTCCTCGAGACGCTCATATTCCGCATTCATGACCAAACATTCTGTTGTACCGCGGCGTGCGTGGCAGCGCAGACGCCTCAGAATTGAAAAGGAGTCACCCGTTCTCTTGTCGCCGTCTGGGCAAGAGGCGTGGTCGGTATCAGAACGCGGGATACCCAGTATATCAGGATCCGGATCGGAGTATGAGATGGGCTTGGATTCGAGCTCCGGATCTAGCTCCGAAACTGAATCGGATGATTCTGCGGACGAGCGGGCGGGATGGAACCGGAACTTTCCTGGCTTCGATTCCGGCTATGGCTCCCAAGAGGAGGATCCAGATGAGAAGGCCCGGTACTACGACGAGTTGCTGGAGCGATTCCGGGCAGAAGGTCCGACGTTAGCCGACCACTCCAGAAATACAGTGAGAATGGAGGAGGAGCAGGAGGCAAAGTGGGAAGAGTAGGACACGAGAATCATTTTTCGACGATCCGTGGCTGACACCGGACGGGACAGGTTCTGCAAATACAGGAGGCTTGACCCAATGAGAACCCTGAAGGCGTGTGACTCTCCTGTTTTCAAAGTATACCTAGTTTGGAGGGTCGAGAATTCAAGAATAAAGAAGGAGTCATCAGTCCTGACCTACTGGAAACTTCTCAGTATGGTCTATTCCCAGAAGATGGCCAGCTGGATGAAGGAGGAGGTGCTATATGACATTCGGAACGTAAGAGCCATGGTGTCCGCCGGTCAATTCATACTGACATGCCTAGTGGATTCGTACGTATGTAACACCTACCTACGGCCTGGATACTAGCAGGAAGGAGAAGGCCGGGCTCTTCGTGGAGGACCTTGCTATGCTCTTGTACCATCACTGGGTTCGAGACGAAGAGATATTTGCTCATGAACGCCTTCGCGTGCAGCTTGCAGCAAACCTGATCCTCGCTGGCGCCACGGCTACACGGCCAGGCGCACTCATCGGTCAGCTACTATATGAGCACCTGGAGTTCCAGCTGTTCCCGCCGCTGAGCGGAGGCCCGCGGCCGCGGATTGTGCTGAAGGTGAACCTGAAGCACATCAAGAGGTCCGGCGGCACATCGGATCCCAAGGAGTTTGCCTTCCGCGAGGATGACATGCTGATCTATGACCCGTTGATACCTATAATGGCAATGGCGCTGGCTGATGATGCATTTGAGAACGGGTTCACGAGCCCTCGACAGATTTACAATCTAATTGTCCCCAAAGGCAGTGACCGTCTACGAATTCTCTGGAAGCAAGAATGGCGACAGCGGCCTGTCTTTCGCGATATTGAACGCATGGATGACGGGGTTCG